GAGTGATGACACCATTCTACTGTCATGATGATCACCAAGCACTTGAGAGAGAGTTGTTCATGATACAACGAACTGACTGAGAGATGAAAGTAATCTACTGTTCATCAAGCACTTGAGAAAGTTGTCCAAGATGCAAAAATAAATACTATTTTTTGAGCCTGTATGGTCCCCATTGGACAGTATTAGGATAATACTGGCACTAAAGAGAGTTATCCATGATACTATTAACTGAGTGATGACACCATTCTACTGTCATGATGATCACCAAGCACTTGAGAGAGAGCTGTTCATGATACAACGAACTGACTGAGTGATGAAAGTAATCTACTGTTCATCCAGCACTTGAGAAAGTTGTCCAAGATGCATAAGTAAATACTATTTTTATTTTTGAGCCTGTATGGTTCCCATTGGACAGTATTAAGATAATACTGGCACTAAAGAGAGTTATCCATGATACTATTAACTGAGTGATGATACCATTCTACTGTCATGATGATCACCAAGCACTTGAGAGAGAGTTGTTCATGATACAACGAACTGACTGAGTGATGAAAGTAATCTACTGTTCATCCAGCACTTGAGAAAGTTGTCCAAGATGCAAAAGTAAATACTATTTTTATTTTTGAGCCTGTATGGTTCCCATTGGACAGTATTACGATAATACTGGCACTAAAGAGAGTTATCCACGATACTATTAACTGAGTGATGACACCATTCTACTGTCATGATGATCACCAAGCACTTGAGAGAGTTCTTCATGATACGACTAACTGACTGAGTGATGAAAGTAATCAACTGTTCATCAAGCACTTGAGAAAGTTGTCCAAGATGCAAAAATAAATACTATTTTTTGAGCCTGTATGGTTCCCATTGGACAGTATTAGGATAATACTGGCACTTAAGAGAGTTATGCATGATACTACTATTAACTGAGTGATGACACCATTCTACTGTCATGATGATCACCCATAAAGCACTTGAGAAAGTTGTCCAAGATGCAAAATAAATACTATATTTATTTTTTGAGCCTGTATGGTTCCCATTGGACTCGACTACACTTAGGAGAGTTGTCCATGATACTAGTAACTGAGTGATGACACCATTCTACTGTCATGATGATCATCAAGCACTTGAGAAAGAGTTGTCCATGATACAACTGACTGAGTGATGAAAATATTCTACTGTCACTAAGCACTTGAGAAAGTTGTCCATGACATAAAAAGAAATACTATTTTTGTAAGAAGTTTTCCAGCAAATGTAGAGACAGCGTATTAGCAAAGTAGAGAACTTTATCAAGACTTCAAAGTGCGAACTAATAAAATATGACAGCAAGACTCCTATATCCAATCGATGATGGAATATTGTAGAACTTACTGCATTAGTAGTTAGTATCATATACTGTACATAGAATGAGTATTGTAGAGGGTTCTACATTAGAGGGATCCAGAATGTAAAAAATGTTGCATCATGTTAGCTAGACACTTGCATATTGTACCATATTCCACTTTCTATCATCGCTCCAAATTTCAAGTTGCTAATTTAACGATAACCTTCCTCTATCACTCTACTAATACTATGACAAATTTTTTAGACTCTATGGTCTCTATTGGACAGCACTAGTGCAATACTGGTACTTGGAGAGTTCTCCATGATACTCCTAACTGAGTGATGAAAATATTCACCTATCACGAAGCACTTAAGAAAATTGTCCATGATATAACAAAAATAGATACAATTTTGGTAGACTGTATAGTTGCTATTGGACAGCACTACAGCAATGCTGGCGCTTGAAAGAGCTATCCATGATACTCCTGACTGAGTAAGTGGTGATCGCACCCAAACTTTACTATTTACTCTAAGTTGATCTCCGTTTAACTCTCGTCGGAGACTGGTAGTCAATGGAAACTAATAGACTGTATTCTAGTATGGACTGTTTGTTTGTAAGAGATGCATAATCGGCTATGATCGGATTAGTGATCGCACCCAAGCTTTACTATTTACTCTTAAGTTGATCTCCGCTTAGCTCTCGGAGACTGGTAGTCAATGGGAAACTAATTGACTGTATTCTAGTATGGACTGTTTGTTTGTAAGAGATGCATGATCGGCTATGATCGGATTAGTGATCGCACCCAGGCTTTACTATCTACTCTTAAGTTGATCTCCGCTTAGCTCTCGGAGACTGGTAGTCAATGGGAAATTAATTGACTGTATTCTAGTATGGACTGTTTGTTTGTAAGAGATGCATAATCGGCTATGATCGGATTAGTGATCGCACCCAAGCTTTACTATTTACTCTTAAGTTGATCTCCGCTTAGCTCTCGGAGACTGGTAGTCAATGGGAAACTAATTGACTGTATTCTAGTATGGACTGTTTGTTTGTAAGAGATGCATAATCGGCTATGATCGGATTAGTGATCGCACCCAAGCTTTACTATTTACTCTAAGTTGATCTCCGCTTAACTCTCGGAGACTGATAGTCAATGGAAACTAATGGACTGTTTGTAGAGATGCATGATCGGCTTTATTGAAGCAGATTACGGATAATCAATACTGTAAGTACCATCACAGGTGTGGATTTACTGGTCCCTGATACAGCAATTCCTGAGTACGCGTCCATCATCTAGCGCTCCAAGTCTACCTTTTCCACTAGCAAGAGTAAACTAGCTCCGTTGTCCAACAGTAACATCATTTTGGAGTACAGTAGTGTTCACTACAGGCCATGATTTACAGCCGGTTCTATTCCCTCAATGGATAACAGTAGTATCGTAGAAGCAGTCCTAGACAGCGATTTGTAATCAAGAAGAAATGGCACTTCCAAGTCCCTGTCATGGAATTCAATCCATCTACAAGCGCAGCCATGTTCTGTCTTCATCCCTAGCCATTGCAGTTTGGTAAAATGGAAAATCTCCTGCTGTCAATACAACTGCATTGTTGACATGCGCTGTCACCACAGTGGTTCTTCATGCCCACTTGGCCACCCCTGTGACCCACTATGTCACGCATATTCGTAGAGTAGAGTATAGTATCACGTTATTGGATGGCACCACATTGAGATCGATGGCTTTAACACGGGCTACAAAAGCACCTGGTGTGGTCGCTGAGTGGACTGTAGTACCATAGTGGTACCGTAGTGGTAACGTAATAGTACCGTAATAGTACCATAATGGTACCGTAGTGGTACCGTAGTAGTACCACACCGTACCACACCCGTGGCTAACGCTGACTCTCACCAGTAGTGCAGTGCAGTGGTCGAGTTCTCCAGCATTACCCTAGCCTAGTATCACGTTATTGGATGGCACCACATTGAGATCGATGGCTGTAACACGGGCTACAAAAGCACCTGGTGTGGTCGCTGAGTGGACTGTAGTACCATAGTGGTACCGTAGTGGTATCGTAGTAGTACCGTAATAGTACCGTAATAGTACCGTAATAGTACCGTAATAGTATCATAGTGGTACCGTAGTGGTACCCAGTAGTAGTACCACACCGTACCACACCCATGGCTAACGCTGACTCTCACAGTCTCACCACCAGTGGAGTGCAGTGGTCGAGTTTCCAGCATTTCCCTAGCCTAGTAAGCCTACTGTACTGTATACACTATACTGCCCAACCAAGCACACTTGCCCTCACACCGGTCCGGTCCGGTCCGGTCCGGTCCGGCCCTCACTGCCCAAGTGCACATTCAGTACTAGGCGGAGACCTCAGCGCTGATCAACTCACTCTTACTGGGTGTGTTCACGTGTCGTTGCGTGTAGGAGAGGAGAAAGACAGTGAGAGGGTAATGTCCATCATGGCCATCTTGTAGTCATTACTGTTGATTGGCAATATCATTATTATTCTGTGGTGTAGAAAGGAATTTTAATCCAGCGAATGGTTTAATCGATATCATTTAGGTTACAATCCATGTCTGAAGAGAACGTCAAGATGCGAGGCAAGCGAAAAGCGTCCAATGCTGGCTTTGATGCGATACCGGTAAATGATGTTGATGGTACAATTTGCTAAACAGATTGAATTCAATCATCAGTAACCTCCACTGAAACGGATAATCATGCATGTTATGTATACGTTTATGGATCATCGATTCATGATGGAGGTAGGGGGAATGCACTGGGTGATACAACAATCTTTGGCCACTTTGATGTGCAAGCTACAGTACGACAAGATTGCGTGGAGAACAACAACTCTTCATCGACTTCTTGTCACCTAAGTGTAGTCCATTTTCCAATAAAAGCCGCTATCAATCACCTTGATCTTGAGTTGAGAAAAGACAGGATTGAATCAATGGCTTGCCTACAAGTTCAATTCAATGGTAACAAGTAGCTAGTAGCTCTATCCACGTCTGATGGCGATATCCAAAATGGGTCGTCGCAAATCTCCGCTCTATATCCATTTTGAAGTAGTCCTGCCTGATAGGATCATCAATCACAAATCGGAGGAGAACCGGTTGTATTCTAACGGCAGATACCACAGTGATCAAACTACGCTTCTGCATAGTGGACTTCTATTTCGTTGGATAATATTCATCATGGCTGTATACAGTAGAAATTGTAAAATGAATTTCATTGCGTAGTTATCGCCAGGCTAATTGGAATTTCACCAAGAGTTTGATTCATTTCCACTACTCATATCCTGCTGTTGCAACAGTATCGTACATGTTCTACACATGAGTACAATATTACCAATAGGCCGTATGGCGTAGACTCAGGGGAAAAAAAACAGGTATACGGACTACTCTCTACTTCCCCAAAAATACACTAGTTCCGGATAGGCGTGATGTCCGTCCATGAAGGACAGTAGTGATGATGAATCTACCAAGTAGAAGTAAGCATTTTAGGCTACACCTAAATAGACGGGACAAAGTGATTTCTACCTTGGCTACTTGTATCGTAAGCGAATAATCAATTTTGTCCATTCAAGTTGACCTGATTACATAACAAAAAAATTGCAATCTTGAGATTACTTGTACAGTTTACGATCAGGCTTTAAATTAAATATCATTGGAATCATACCTCCAACGACATGTTCAAAACGACAAATGCCGACAATTTAGCCAACAAGTATTGCAAAGCATTAATAATAGATAATTATATCATCTTTCCTGATTTGTCAAACTCGTGTCGTGATTGGATTATGGAAATAAATGTGCAAGCACCGTGTAGTGTTAGCATGCCAATCAAATGGCGAAATTTGAGTGTGTAGCATCAGCAATATGTAACTAAAATGAGATTGAAAATACGAGCACATAGTGAACATTTTCAATTTGTTTTGCATTACGTATGAAAAGGTACAAAATAACCTACTGTAGTTACTACGTTATACATGTGTACTAGCGATATAAAGTATAGCTTGATAATAGTGATCGACAGTAATTACTATTGATCGTTTAGGCCTTTGTCCACAACAGGGCTTTCCTTTGCCATTAATAAATAGAAATGAACAAATAAATAAATACTCTTCGGCCTACCTATTCGTATTCAGTGATGATTGTAGCAAATTTTTCATTATACGTATCTACTAAATTTGAATTCATTCAAATCCTGCCAGGTGTACAGCGTGATTTTTAAAGTTATGATATCGTGATTGAACTTTGATACTAATGAATCAATTGGTGTGTGCTAATAATTTCTGTAGTGATGCCATGGCTAACATTGAATTCTTGTCATGTTTTATTGTAGCTTGCAGCTAAGAGACCGGCGCTTTACGCACATCAGGTGGAAAAAAATGGAGAATCTTACGTTCCAATATCACTCGAGGATGCTCAATCTGGCAAAGGTTCGATGCTATTGCTAGTATAATTTTGCCTAAATGATAAGGTGTTGTCTTGATTGAGTTTATTAATTTGCTAAAAGATGAGCCTTGTACTCGTATACAGTTGTATCAAATCTTATCAGTATTTATCGTTCAGTTTGGTTCCTTACTGTCAAGGGGTAATAGTTTATCGAACTGACTTGCCTTTCACATTACTCGTAGATCGAAATTTTTGAGTGAGGCTTAGAGCTAGCCTTTCCGTTAAGAATAATCTTTTTATTTGCTAGTGTCGAATATTACATACTGCATTATTTATCAATTTATCATGCTAAAATCAAATTTATCAAATTTACATGTCTACATGGTATACACGTATATTGTATTACTTGCCAAGTTATGATGCTAAAATTGAATTTATTCTCCCATGAATTATATTTCAGCGTCAAGGCCGGTAAGAGTATATGCCGATGGAATTTTTGATTTATTTCACATTGGTCATATGAACGCCCTAAGACAAGCAAAGGGTGTTTTTCCAAATGTCTATTTACTGGTCGGAGGTATATTTTGTGCATATTGATCAATAAAATTAGGGCTTAAGGTGTAAGCTGCTTTTCGTATGAGAATTTAGTTTTTACTCCATTGGGACTGCCATGATGATATTAGCCAGTGGTTGTAACATAGATACTGTAGTTTATCGTATAATAAATGTGTTGATGCTGTAAAGGAGTTGATTGATATGTTGATACAATCATGATCGATAAGAAAGAGGGACTATCGACAATTGTCAATAATAATTGTTCATTGCTCAAAATGTGGAAGCTGACAATTTTGTTCCATCATTTCAGCTGTACTGGATATCTGTAGCCGGTAACCGTGCACTGTATATCGTTCACAGGTGCATTCCTAAGTAGTCACCAAGTTAGTTGCACACTGTACGACGTGCGGCTTCAGTTTTCCGATATAGTTAAATGACCAACAAAATAGTCAGCCTATACACTTTTAGCAATAAACAGTTGTTTGACTGTCCCTCTCTTTTTTCTTCAAGTAGTCCCTGATATGAAGCAGCTTCCAAAAGGTAAATGTTATTAACATTTTGGAAGCTGAGTTCATGTCAAGGTATCAGGGAGTGTTATCTAAAATTCATACTATGATGTCGATAACTGTATACAATTGATTTATTTTGACTGAATGTAGTCTGTAGTGATGAATTAACACACAACATGAAAGGATTTACCGTCATGACTGAGAAAGAGCGCTATGAATCATTGGTTCATTGCCGTTATGTGGACGAGGTTGTTACGGGTGCGCCGTGGTTGATTACTCCAGAGTTTATGGAAGAACATCAGGTCTAGCTTGCACTTTTATGCAGTATATGTACAGTATGCTATTATTTTTTGCTCTGTATCACAATGATATAAGGGGATAATTACAAGAGTTTTGCTTTAGAATGTGCACTTATACATCTTTTTATATTTGCTGTATTTAGATTGACTTTGTAGCCCATGATGATCTTCCATATCAATCCAGCACTTCCAACGATATATATAAGGATATTAAGGCGATGGGAAGGTTTGTTGCAACTCAACGGACTGAAGGTATATCAACGTCCGACTTAATTACCAGAATTGTGAGAAACTATGATACCTACGTCAGAAGGAATTTACGTAGAGGTTATTCTGCGAAAGATTTAAATGTTGGTTTTGTAAAGGTATGATTAATAAAATTCTAGTCATCAAGGATAATTATGCAGTGTAAAAAGAAACTTGAAAATTATTGCTTTCATTCAAACTACAAATTATAGGGAAAGCAATACGAAATGCAAAATACTGTTAGTCAGTTAAGAGAAAAATTTAAAAACGTTGAAGATCGATCACAGCGATTTATACAAAGGGTTGAAGGAAGATCCCATGAAATATGGAAAAAGGTAGAAGATACATCTTCAATTCTTGTCCAAAAATGGGATGAAAAATCACGGGAACTTATTGGAAACTTTTTAAAATTTTTTGAACACAATGGTGGATTGGTAAGGATATCATTACATGATAATATTCCTAAGTGCACATACTCTGTAGTTGCATGTTATGCGAGACTGACTTTACATATACTACTTTCAGAGGCAAATTTTCAACGATGGTAAAGAAATAATGCAAGGTGCCTTCCATTCACCGCCAAATTCACCTCGGAATATGTTTTCCTTCTTTGATAGCGACAATAATAACGATGAAGAAAGCGATGGTACCGCACCAGAAATGCTATCGTCAGATGAATTGAATGGCACAGATGATGTGGTTAATAGTGATAAATCTCTTGTTAGTGCTTAAAGATACGATCTCGTATCAATTAACTGAGCAAACACTAACTACTTTGTTAAAGGATATGTAGGAGATGGTTGTTATTTGTAGTTTATGCTTGTTACATATTAGAAAGGCAACGTTTGTCAATTTAGTCCTTCTTAATGTAATAATGACAACATTTGTTATCCTTTAAATAATGATTAAAATAGAAATTGTAATTATTCGTAAATATCTTCGTTATAAAGCTTAAGTTGACACTGTCCTGCTTAACGTTGGTGGCTTCTGTTCGTAAACATACGTGATTGATTCAGAATACTGTATTCATTCAAAATCTTTTGCAGAATAGGCCACAGAAAGTTAGTACTGGAGATAATAACTGTTTATGTAATATGAGCTTAAGATTTCTTATAAAATGCTTCAATCTTTTAGTGCCGTTATTATCTGCTTTACTATGCTTTACAAAGATCAAACAAAATTTAGACGATAGTCATGAAATTTACACTGTCAAGTGTAGCATTCTATACTTTTTGTTCTGTTTCACAACTTCTGAATGTCTAATATCGAATGCAATGTTATAAGATAATATTTATATTAGCTAGCATCAGTGGAGTTCAGGATTTTGTAGTTTCATGTAATTAATTACGAAACCATATTTTTTTTCATAACACTGTAAGCGGTTGATTAATCATCACTATGATAAGAATGACGTATTGTAAATCACATTTAGAATGATGAACTAATTAATGTATGCCTTCATTGTGCTTGTCTACTGATAAATGCGTACTTCGTTTCTTAGCTTATGCAGGATTATAGTATATCTGTGAAATTTTAGAATCACCGATTAATACTTCATTTCTACGAGAATTATCTTATTCTAAAATACTTGACATTGCCTCATACCTGTGCTAGTAACAATAAAGCGAAGTGCTGCCGAATGGGTAATTTGTCAACTTCTTTTACGTTTACAGATGCATTTTTGTTCATACGTGTATTTGAGTCTGAGAATTAATCAATTAATTATACTGTACAGCACGCGTTATTAGCAACTAACAAGAGTACACTGTACACTGTTCTGCACATTGTAGTATAGCAATTGCTATCGTGAATTCTTGGCCATTTTTGAATCAATCTAATATTTTACGCGTTGAGTAAGCACCACATGTATGTATTTAATGCAGTTAACATTAATTGAGCTAAAGGAGGTATATACTAACTATCGTCATAAATATAGCAATGGTAATTTATGCAAGATGTGCCCGAATAGGTTCTGTACTTTAATTGCAGACGATTGATAAGAAGTAAATGATGACGTAAGTTCGTAATGTAGAAGCGTAAGATCGAGGTCATCGGAGAGCACTGCTATACGCAGTTACAAGTATACATCTGCAGTATCGCTTCATTGCCAAAAGGTTACCCTGTGTATTTATCACTGATGTTGATTCTCTTCAACATATTTAGCATACTCGTTCAATGCGATAAATAAGTCCATTCCGTAGAAATATACAAATTTAATCTGAGAATACTTCATTAAGAAGACCAATTAATATACAAGTTTTTATCATAAATGAAACCTTACTGCTATTAAATAATATGATATTCTAGCTGCTTTGGATAATGCCGCAGTAGTAATCACTTTGAAAGATAGTTATATATTCTTTGGTAGTATAGTAGCAACAAATTCACAAAAAACAATTTAAATGAATCTTAACCAGATAAGTGTCAAATACACACCAAAGGTAATTTATCATAGTCTACGAAGTTCGGGAATCGATACACAAGCTACGAGTCTACTTTTACAGATACTTTTAAAATTTTTTCTTTAGTGTCATTAAAATGATTAACCGCTATATGTTTTTAAATTATATACCAGTTTCAGGAATTTTATGATACAAAGTTAAATGTTGTGTATACGTGTACTGGGCCTATATAGATATTATAGAGACTTACTTATACGCGTATATACTCATCTGTTAATAGGTGTCTGGTTGTCATGCCAGACTAAAATGAACCTTTTGCTAAACTGACTTACTTTATGGGTTTATAAAGTACAGTTTTAGCCTTACGCAATAACGGTTGCAAGTACTTGCAATCATTTACCTGAAGGCTAATCTATAAGTGTTTACTTGAGTTATTTGTTGAGTTGTAGTTCTAAATGTATTATTTTGCTGTTTTTGACGACTGGTGTAGTAGTTCTTCATATCCCAAGTGCCCGTATATGATCCCCAAACAGATTCCTTACGTTTTGGTATCCCTGCGAGCAAATGGCCGTTATTATTCGCGATAATTCTCGTATAGCCATTTAAGCTTCTTGGTTTCTATATTTATAAAACGTTAATATTTTAAACTTTTTTAAAATAATTAACTTTACTCGTAAGAGTATCTGGATAACTGAAAGTATACCTTTTTGTATTGCTTAGGAATTTCCCAGTTTCTTAATCTTCCTGGTGAATAAGCATTTTCAAACTATTTGACAATAATAATGCATTTGTATTAGAATCATTTATTTCTATCGTCAGATGTTTTCGCCATTATGAAATATATGTATAGTCGTGAAATAGTATAACTATATTGGCATATTTGTTATTTTTAATCATGTAAATGGGGTCATGAAATATTAGCTCTACAATTTACACGATTTTTCAACAGAATAATTACACTAAGATAATGATCGCTATCTATTTTTCCCTAATACATCGATTGAAAAAATGATAAAATGATGTACGTCATTACAACCCAATACAATTACGGGAACTATATGAGATTATCTTCATAGATTACCTGGTTAGCATGAAATGTTAGCGACATCGTTTGCTTTTTTGCGATTTTTCCGGTGATGTATATCGATATACAAATGTAATATTAGCGATCGGTTGATTTTGACAATGATTGTAGTCAAGATGGATGAAGGTCTGTGTTGATTGAAATAATTGCCAACGTTGATATTTGCTAATAAATTAGTCTATGAATGCAATTATTATCGCGTTCTACCAGAAAAACTAAAATATAAAAAAAATGAAAAAATGAAGGCTAAAGCAAAATTGCACGACGGGCGCGGACTTCCGACAGTCCGAGCTGATGATCTGTAGTGTCTGTAGTGAAGGTATGCAAATATTGCACTAGCTCAAATTAGAAAGTCAATTTCAAAGATATATAGTATTAAGCATGATATACTGTAGTTAAGCATTAGTTTTAGAGTAGTATACAGAGCAGCATATTGTATAAACAAGCTCTTCAATAAGTAACAAGTGTAGGGATTGATTGCTTTTCCTAGCGTAGCATGTCGGAACTAGCGCGGTGCATCAGACAGTCCATTACCGAATGACACTGTTGTCATAGTAACAGCGTTCCTTGTAGACATCTTTAATTATCTTACAGATTATAAACGATGCAATAATAACCAGCAGGGGAGCCATTAGAACCATTATAATAATAGGATCATACAGTACATTTTATTTTTTAGTAGGTAGAAGCGCCAATTATAATTAATTAATAATGCAGTTTAATCAATGCAGTAGTAGTATAGAAAGAGGAAAAATATTATTCTCTTCAATCTTGAGAAATTATCTTTATAAGAATTACAAGTAACGTGTATAATATACAGTAGTATACAAGTGTACAATGTACATGTACACCGGTATTAGCTAGATGTATTAGGTAAACGTAGCAAATAGGGTAAGTTGGTTCCTTTACATGAAGGGATCAGCTGGATTAAACAACTAAATTCAATATTTAAAATTAGCGAAATAGACTAGTCAGTGACTCCGTGCTCGTATATAGTATATAGTGCTAATTGTGGCGTATTGCGTTAAATTCTAGTCTACTATACACTATACTGTACAGTCAACTACCCATACTAATCTTGACCAGATACTGAATAGGGTAAGTTAGCACTTTGTTTTTTTCTTACCTCTATGTTCTAGACAAAGTTGTTGTACTGTACTTATACAGTGCTCACTCAATAGTTAAAAAAAATGACGGCGTATATACTGTACTCTTATACAGTATTCTATGTTGAAATTAAATGCAGTTAATCGGGTAATGACTTCATTACCCAGTACGACCACAGACGACTCAATAAAGATTATCCCGTAGCAAAGTTATTGTATTTGCTGCTTGTTGACCTACTATTCGAGGCACCTATCGAAATAGGGACACAAATAGACCTAGCCCGTATTACAGACAGAACTGCTATAAAATGCGTATGTTCATAGTTACATTACACCAGGTTTTTTTGGTCAATTACTGTAGTACAGTTGATTATGACATGCGCTGGTAATACAGTATTTTCGTCTTACGCAAACCCAACTTTGAATGCTATCCTGTTGCTCTACTAGATGAAGTGGCAGAGTGGTATATATTTTACAAGATTGATGAACAGAATCTTCAAAATTTTTATCGTTACATGCATAATCGTATATGCTGTATACACGATATGCGAATGCAGCTGGTAGGGATTTGTATACGCATTGCTGGACTATTGACCCTATGTTTACGTTCTATAGTGTTCTATCCTGTTGCTGTACCAGATGAAGTGGTAGAATGGTATATTTTGCAAGAATTGATGAACAGAATCTTCAAAATTTTTATTGTGACATGCATAATCGTATATACTGTACTTGCACTGTATAACACGATATGCGAATGCAGCTGGTAGGGATTTGTACACGCATTGCTGTACTATTGACCCTATGTTTACGTTCTATAGTGTTTCTATATATATATAACGACCGCCTTGTTCGATGAAGTCCAAATTATGCTTTCAACATGTAGTTGATGTTCAAATTGCCACATTCTATAATCATAATTGCTGATCTCCGTCTTTCCGTTTTCATCGATTTTTGCAGTCCACCGTCGCCTTTTTAATACTGTACTGTAGCATGGAATACTACTACTACTACTCATAATTAATTCATTCAATTTAGGAATTATCGTCTGTGTACACTGTACAGTATGCTATGATTAAAAACATTCTTTATGCGTACTGTACTCTTTCTCTGATGATTTACAGTATCTCTATCTTACGGACCGCGACAGCAATAGAGGGTCTAGTACTGTACATTTAAATATTGTTCAAACATTTTATTTGAAATGGAAACTCGATGAAATTACGATCGATCTTTTCCATTCACATTGCAAAGTAAAATTTTATTTTAGAACAGGATACCAGCGACACTGATATTACAGCTTGAAACTGGATTTTGTTTGACCAGGGGACTTGTGAGGCTGTCTCTGAACTCTCTGCTTCAACCTACTGGATTTGACTCGCGATAGCAGACTGATGTCACAAGCCGTGACACACCACCCGTAAAACAATCAGGGGACTTGTCAGGCTGTCTCTGAACTCTCTGCTTCAACCTACTGGATTTGACCCGCGATAGCAGACTGATGTCACAAGCAGTGACACACCACCCGTAAAACAACCAGGGGACTTGTCAGGCTGTCTCTGAACTCTCTGCTTCAACCTACTGGATTTGACTCGCGATAGCAGAATGTCACAAGCCGTGACACACCACCCGTAAAACAACCAGGGGACTTGTCAGGCTGTCTCTGAACTCTCTGCTTCAACCTACTGGATTTGACCCGCGATAGCAGACTGATGTCACAAGCAGTGACACACCACCCGTAAAACAACCAGGGGACTTGTCAGGCTGTCTCTGAACTCTCTGCTTCAACCTACTGGATTTGACTCGCGATAGCAGACTGATGTCACAAGCAGTGACACACCACCCGTAAAACAACCAGGGGACTTGTCAGGCTGTCTCTGAACTCGCTGCTTCAACCTACTGTAGTTTGACCTACTACTGTATTTGACTTGCGATAGCAGACTGATGTCACAAGCCGTGACACACCACCCGTAAAACAACCAGGGGACTTGTCAGGCTGTCTCTGAACTCGCTGCTTCAACCTACTGTAGTTTGACCTACTACTGTATTTGACCTGCGATAGCAGACTGATATCACAAGCCGTGACACACCACCCGTAAAACAACCAGGGAACTTGTCAGGCTGTCTCTGAACTCTCTGCTTCAACCTACTGGATTTGACCCGCGATAGCAGACTGATGTCACAAGCAGTGACACACCACCCGACCCGACCTGCGCAGTACCGACAGCATTGAAGGACTTTTTCACTGAGAAATTAAATCAATTTGGCCGACTTGGTAGACTGCTAAGAAAAAGGAAAATGGAGAAGAGGAGAATCGCCGAGAGTCATTTAGAAACTACCATCAAATTCGATTAAGAGTATACTGTTAGTGGTGATTGATTAGCTTATGCTATAATATCTATTGTTGGATTGGCTGAAGAATGAGCGAACACTGCCCTCGTAGTCGTCAAAGTAAACAGAAATACAGAAATGCTACCAAATACGAGCTTCAATCACAACGTTGGGTAAGACAACGTAGAAAAAAGATTTTCTTCTCGATCGGTGTGCAACGAAATTGCTCTAGCGTAACCGCATGATTTTATCATGAATAGACTGGTATCTGCTATGGCAGGATTACAGTAGCATTAATACTACTAGTACTCGTAACAGACTGTATGGAGCAGCTCCAGTGTATACTGTATCATCATGGAGAATTGGAGAGAATGAAATTTTGTAATGCCAAGGTTGATATTGAGTTTGACAATGCATGGAAGGATACCACTCATACACTATCGTCTGCTGTACTATAGTATGCACATCGAAATCATGCCCTAATCCATAGGCTAAATGAATGTACTTGAATAGGTTATTTAGTATTCTGTAATAAGAATGGAATGAGAGCATAATGGAAATGGTCAATGAGTGATATTAATAATTCATTTACACGACTTGTAAGTCAGTTTGGGTAGTAGTACAGTATAGACCAACGTTTGCCCTAAGCAATAATGCTGAATCGAATAAAACTAGACAATCAGATACGCCATAGTCGGATATTGTTGTAGGAGTATTGATGTAAATGATTCAATGAATTGGACCATAGGTAATCAATCATACATCATATGCTGAGAAACTTTAGGCAAGACTCTAACGTCTTGGCAACAGCATGATCAATATATAATCAATAGGACGTAGTTTGATCGTTCAAGTCAAGCATCAGCGCTCATTGAAATGGTCGACGATCATCATATTGATCAATTTACTGTATCGAATTAATATTTCGATTGAATTTGTCATGGAGATAAAATAATTCGAGCCACAGATACCATTGTTCTATCAATTTTATAGTTAGTTAACTTAAGGATGAAATTAAAATTGCAATTGCAATAAATACTTTTTTTATTCTATTCCTTTCCTAGATTGAGCCTGCACTATACTCCTGCCAACTGGCCAAATCTGACAAACCATTTCTCCCAATACCTCTAGCGGAAGCTCGCTCCGGCAAAGGTTGAGCATGACTGTAAATTGTAGATGGGATCCATAATGCATCTCAAGCTATAAAATTATTGTAATTATCAAACAGTTAAGTGCAATGTTTTACTGCCTTTACCTACACCCGCAACAATCCCCATCACTGCAATGTGTTTTCTTTAACTTAAGATTAGAAATTGGCCTTTTAGCTAATAAAGCTTGCAAAAGTTGCAGATTTTTTTTGTCCAGCATTGATATACAGTACATTAAATATTTTCTATTATAAATTGATCCCTTTCATATTGTAATCTTATATATTTTACAGCAACAAGGCCTGTAAGAATTTATGCTAATGGAGTTTTCGATGTGTTTCACATTGGTCATATGAATGCACTAAAACAAGCCAAGAATTTCTTTCCGAATGTTTATTTAATGGTTGGAGGTAAATTTTCCCAACTAAAAGTTATTAATGATAAACAAATAGATGTTATGTAAATGATTACTATTTATGCTGCGGTGATTTATTTTAATATATTAGATCAGTTTAAGCCTTAATGAATTGATGAAAGATAATAATACCCTGTTGTACTGTATGGCTTAGACGAAAAGCGCCATCATTGACAGGATAAATTTATAAAATTATTCTTTAGTGTTAAACATACTTTTATGATTGACGATTGTAAGCGAAATTATAGGCTCTTTGGATTGTACAGTATACGCCGGCCAAAAGGGCCTATATTTTTACCTGTCATTATACGGTATATCCAATATTCTGGCGTAAGACTATTTTAAAGTATTTATGCTCTTGCTTTGCATAAGCTTGTCATTTCTGGAGTTTGAAGCTCATTCCAACATCTTGACTTGTATCGTATCAGACGATCTCGTGCAGTATATGTAGATATTTCTTGACGGGAGATTTTAAAGAAATTGAAATATAAATACAGGCAATCCAAAATTGCCTTCCAAGATTTTATCAATAAATTGTCCGTAGTCTACTAAATTCATTTCTGGCAAATTTCTGCTCTAGTCGGTATGTTGCAGACTTTCTAGTTTTTCGCAGTTTCTATGTAATGTGAGTTATATATAGATGACTTTATCTGCCAAATTTCATGGTATATCATTATTCAAGTAGAGTACGTATGTTTATATTGTAGGCTATGCTTCGATGTGTCTTGTCATTCATGATTCCGACTAGATCAAAAAAAGTAATTACGCATATTCTTACAAATTCTTTAGTCTACAACGACAATATAGCACACTACAAGAAGGGATTTACCGTCTTGACACAAAGCGAACGTTATGAATCATTAATTCATTGTCGCTATGTTGATGAAGTGGTCACTGATGCACCATTGGCAGTGACGCCAGAATTTATGGAAGAATATCATGTAGGCATTGGATTAGCTCTAAATATGCAAATGATCATGATACCTATTCGTAGACACGAAGAAGAGAGCATAAGTTGAAATCTGTATCTCATTTTTACATATCTAGATTGATTTTGTAGCAAATGATGGTCGCAAAGCCGGTCATTCCAAAGATGTATATAAAGACATAAAAGCTATGGGAAGATTTATTCCTACCGAGTCTACTTCAGGGATATCAACCTCGGAGATAATAGCCAAGGTTACTCGAAATTACGATATTTATGTAAGAAGAAATTTGCGTCGCGGTTATTCAAGGAAAGATTTAAATGTTGGTCTTGTAAAGGTACTATCAATCGATTTTTATTGAAGATGTTAATTATGATTGCATGGGATCTTCTAATTGATATTATCAACTTTGTTTACGGAAAATTGAATACAGAAAACGCACTACGAAATTCAAGATGCTATTGGTGAATTACATGAGATGGTAAAAAATGTTGAAGATCAATCTCAACTACTTTTACAAATGGTTGAGGGACGATCGTATGAGTTTTGCAAACGGTTAGCAGATATATCTGCGAATTTTCGTGAAAATTGGAATGGAAAGCTACCTGAATCCAAGGAGGGTCGCTCGAAATTTTATGAACTCGATGAAGGTTGGTATGAATTTGTGTAAGGAAATCAGTATGCTGCTATGAAATTATAAATTGCTATTTCTATCTGATACACCCTTTTGCTCTTGTTTGTAGGTAAAAATATGAAATAACAGTAGAGAAATAAGATAGCAAGGCTCAATTGACTCTATCGTCTGCTGTAAAATACCTTCATGCCAACGAAGGAAATAGTAATGAATCACGAAATGAAAGCGATGATATGCTTGCAAGATGCATTACTAATAGTACTAATTATATAATTAAAGCAAATACTCGTAGATAAACTGATCATGTATCGACGGCAGGTTATGTTATATTCTGCCAATATTTTTAATACTTAATGGGTGACGCTATTGTCACTAACGATGAATGTGCTTACGAGAAGGTTTTACATTTATAGTTCGGCAGTCATAGTGTATGGCATAAATGACGTTTATCATATAACCAACTTAATTGAATTGTTTGATCTCCATTATCTTCCGCATACCTACGCGTATAAGGCCAGAATATGGCCTAATTATTCATTTTCAATCTAAATTTTATTTATACCACTCCTTAAATAAATGGTTGATAGATTTTATAGCATGGATGTAAAACAGAAGATTAAATCCAAATTTTTTAATGTTGATAATACGATCATATTACGATCATACATGCTCTTGTCTATAGAATGTGTGGCAGATGTCACAATCATGTCGGTTTTCATCACTGTACTCTACTTCGCCGTTATAGCTTATTGTGGCGATAGCTTAAAATAGATAGATCAATGTAATTAAGAATATACATTTTCTAGTGCACCTTCATAGTGCTGTCTTGGAATGGCATACTAGTACTAATATCTTATTATAGGTAGTGGTTTATATTTGCAATATTGCTATATGTGATAGCATCCGTAAATATTTATTGAATCTGAAATGAGGCATATCTATTAGAAATTATTGTAAAACAATTATGAAAAATAATCAGCAATCAATTAAAGTGTATATGTATGACGTAATTTTATTTCTATGTTATCTGTATATATAAGCTATGCAAGGTAACAAATGATTTGTTGATGTAAATACTTATCCTGTACAATGTACAGCATATCACGGATATCCACCTATTATTAAAGTTCAATTTGTTACCAACCTCCAATGTTGTCCTTAATTTGTTATCGTAATTGTCTTCGCCAGTATGGGTAGCTTGCTGAATGCTTGGCATTACATTATTAATAGAAATCTTGCATTATTATTTTCTCATCATTTCTAATTTGATTATAAAGTACTGACACTATCAAGGTACATGTTATATTTATGTGGCCATATATCAATAAGTAGTGATCACATCTGCCAGCCAATGCCTTGACATTTTCTATTCATCTGAGGATGCAGAACTTAGTTATGAATATGTTGCAAACGGTAATCTTTGTACTCTTATTGCATGCACTTCGTTTTGCTGTACTGTATTATTAAATATGTAAGAGTAAATAGCATGGGTGAAGGAAAATTCAAGAGCTATTCTGTGACAGCTGAGCCATCCCATTGAGATTGTGATAGTGAGTATACCAATGTATGATGTATGTTTAAGGAGAATTTGCTAAGTAATCAGATCCGTACCAATTTGAATTCCCTATTTTTCGATTCAGGTTTAATTAATTTAAATTGCTAGCAGGTTTTGATGCAGAACAATTCAATATTACAGAGGCTTTATTTATCCTGTATGCAACGATGCATGTACATTAAAATACAGTACTATAAACCTTTTTAATTATTTGGTAACTCATTTACTTTCAAAGTGGTCTGAATATAGAAAATTTTAAAATGAAAAAGATTTGAATTTAATTTGAAGATTAAGCAAATAAAGTATTCATGCTATCATCCCTGTAGCTGTCAAAGATAGCATCATACCATAAGATAAATTACGTCTAGCTAGTCACAGTATACTTATATCGTATGAGCGCAGTTTACTTAATCTGAGACAGCTAGCTTGGACGCGTTGTTCTATGCGTAAGTTTTTGTTATTTCTAGGTATAAGCATAAACAGTATTATCGAGGTCTCCATTGCAGCGCAGAAAAAGCTATGACACTATTGTGCACACATACGTACGCGTATAATTATATCTTATATACTGTAACTGGCAATGATTGTATTACTTTTTTATCCAATAATTTCATGATGTATAATTTAATCTACAAATTTGATGCAGTTACTGTAGGCAAGGTTATTTATTTTTAGTTGATGTAATGCTTGTATCTGCAACTTCAGTGTCGGGTCTGATGCTTTCGGTCATTATTCGACTAAGAGGTCGTTCCTCTATACCAAATATGGCTGTTGTAATAGTTGGTCCATACCATCCAATAATCATTCCAAGACAGCCTAGCGCAAACCGTTGAGTTCTTGGTAATTTCTTCCAGCTGTTCCAAAAATCAGCTATAGGATTGAAAGCCATGGTACGTTGTTCTATGTTTCGGGTAGCTAAACTGTATTCATTAATTTATAAAGTCTACTTATAGTCTATGCAGCAAGACACAATGTCCTCTATCCTGTCTCACTATCTGCAATCTTTGCCAATCAACGAAATACTGCACCGCTTTTATGTATCAAGTTTAGAGCGAAAGATACCTTCAACTTTGATGTTACCAAATAAGAATTTAGCAGTAGACCAGCACAGCAATCAATGCAATGCAGCTTATAATACAATCGAATGCGCTCGTATGGAAAAGGCGAATCCAATTGCGAGCAATAACCGTCTAATAAGGGGAAGGACGTCTAGAGCTTTCAGGATAGGAAGGAGGAATAGGCAGAGTTGAAGTTTTGGATAGTCGCTTTACCGGTTGCACACCGCGGAGTTGGAATTGTATGGACTACGAGATACATTTAGTGCATCAAAGTACCGTCCAGTATGGCTGTAGAAGAGACCACTGGAAGAATACTAAGACGGACAGACACCTGGCCTCATTTCGTCAATCAATTCTGTTTATCCCATTAGTATGCAGACAGTCGATTCTAAATTGAGTGATTTTTTTCTAAATTAAGTAATATTACATTGGATGCCATTGCCTATTGTTAAGTTCTACTTGCAAGCAGTAACTTTGTATCATAAACGTTATTTCAATTACTACAAGAGAGTTCGAAAACAGACACGGAAGATCGATACTGAATAGCTATTTTTCGAGATCGTCTGGATTGTCCGTCTTTCCGAGGAGAGTGTCTAGTCCAGGTCTATTTCTAGTGGTCCGTGTAGTACTATGACAGTATTGGATAGAGTAGTTGCTGGGCAACGTACCGTCCGTATCCCCGGCCGAGCAGTCTTCATCAATCCGTCAGAAGTAAAGTAATCCATTAATTCATTTCCCAATCCAAGCTGCATAGCTAACATGGCGTTCCCTGGCGATGGTGGAGTATCATTAGATAGCGAAGACATATATGGCGAAGAGAGCAGTAGAGGAGCCTTTGTCAATTTAGGAGAGGTAATACTAAATATCTGGCTATTATAGTAAAACCTCATTATTGTTTATCGTATCATATTGTCTAAAAAATAAATATTCAATCGAGGGAAGGCATCTTGTCGAGAGTTGAATAGCTACGAGAATGCTGATAGATCGTAGTTAAGTCGTTGTGAAATTTTTCATCCAATGCATCGTAATAGCATCATGGTATGAGTAGTAGCAATTGGTTATTAGTGATGGATACGCTAATTCATATTATGCCAGCCTATATTGAAGTGTAGATACTGCAGTCTATGTTGAAAAGATTATGGATGACTAGTAGACTACTAGTACAGTAAATAACAGTTCTAGTCGTACTGATAGCCAAATATCAATACATTTAAAGAATGATTCTCTTTAGAATGTGTTTTCTTGGTATTAGAAATAGCCTATGCACATTGCTGTAGATTACGCCATGTTACAAGCTGTTCATGTGTAGTTGTTGTCAAGGTGTTTCAAGATTTATAATGTAAGATACTGGGCCAGAAAGAACAGCAGTCGCTAGGATGATTTACTTGCGTGAACAAAGATAAGAAGACTTTCATGTAGTTTATGGTTCATGTTTATGCTGTTTAAACGAGCTATTTGTACCAACTGTATATATTATATTACTCATGCAACCTTTAAAAAGAGCCAAAGTTTCATTTTGTCGCTTGAACGTTGAAATCCATTGCAATAATGATAAGTCATTTCAAGTCAAACTAAGATCTGGCTTATTGCATTAGACGTTATTCTTTCACTCTATTCCTTTCAAAGTCTGTGTAGAAATTATTAACTTTTTGATTCAATCATCGATTGAATATGACAGGAAAGCAGCTTTATGGAGTCGAACACGAATACTGTGGTCCGAGAACGGGCAATCCACAACGATTTTCAAAACAGTAATACTTTGATTTCAAATATACTTGTATGGTGTAATTTGATCTATTTTGAACTTACATGACAATTAGCACACAATTTTAAATCATTCTATCACTGAAGGTTAATTATGTAATAATTAATGATGGAATTTTTAGATTTTGGAGACATTTTCGACGATGATGATATCGATTAACGGCAAAAATAGACTCGGAATAACTTGACGTTGTACATATGGACGTTTAGATGATCGAAGACTAGTATAAGTGTATTGTACAGTATATTTATGCGAGGTTGGAATAATTATATCTAGGACTGTTATTGGATTAGCAATATATATTATGAAGCAATATTCAAGCTTATTCAAGGATTGTTGTGATTCAATTTTTATCCTTTCCGTTATATGATGTAACATTTCTATCCCTTAATTAATTTTGTTTTATTGTCAGTTTAAACTATGAATGCAAATAAGATCTACTTATAATAAAGTGACTAATATTTCCATAATGTGGTTTCAGTTCGTAGATTAGTATACGACATTATTAAAATATCCATTTGTTATTCTTACTCAAGAATGATATGTTGTTAATGTGGCTAATAGATGAAAGATTTGCCATAACGGCAATGGCCTGATCGCTATACTAAAATATATACGACAGACTGCCTCATGTCATATAGAGCAGTATTGAAGACCGTGGATTCTACTCCTGTATTGGTTAGCGGTTTATGAACAAAATTCAGTATTATTTCCGCTTTATATAATGCACATACAACTAGGCTAGAAAGATATAAAGCTAAATATCACAACTTATTCTATTCTTTACCGATCAGTTTTGTATGTCCAGCAACTTGATTGTGGGTCGCCAAATTGATTGCATGATCGGAATCAATCGAGGCATTGGATGATAAGCGATGCATATCGATATCTACACCATTTTCTATGTAATGCCTTTCTTAATGGGCTAACTTTATTCCAAGCAAATTAAATTGAACGTACAAAAGTGTACTGCTTTGGCCTACTAGCTAAGCTGTTATATTGATTTTATAAATGCGGTATGAGTAGAATAATAAATACGTATATAATACTGTAAGATTATCATGCATCCCGATCGATTATACGATTTCATGCAATCGTTTCAAGAATCGTTTGTAGTAAGTGATACTTCAATTTAAAAACTACTTTACCCTTTCTACTCGTCCAATTTTCCATCTTCTAATATATTGCAGTGCATAAATAAATATAAAATGTATACGGAGTGGTTCATTGCAGGTAAACATGGCATGGCTGTTTAGTACATGCATGGTGGTGTGGCTACAATTTTGTGACTGGTAGGTTGCATATACCATTTCATACTACTACCAACATCGTTTAATACAGTTACAGTTAGATTGAGATAATGTTACAGAATTATTCTAACACTTGATATAGGCAAATAGCAATAGTGAGCTATTGAAGAAACGCATCCATGAACTTTTTAAACTTTCAGTTGCAACCATGAGGCTAGGGTGCGAGTAGTTGTTAAATAGGCTAATTTACTTTAGTATCGGATAAAATACGATACAAGTCCTTTCTGAATTATAACTACTGGAACTTCACTTTCAGTAATGTTGGGTGGCTTACAAACAAACTATTAAACTTCGGTTCCAAATTAAGAGCTAGTGCTTCAGCATGCAATTTAACGTGATGTAGGCCTACCTGTATTTTAATGATAATAATTTCATTTTCAAGGTTGCAAAGTTGTTACTTCTAAGAGTAAAACTTTACAACCTTTATTACTAAACTGATAGCCAGCGGTAGAGTAATCAATAAAGTAAAGTAAATTTATTTCAGCATGCGATAAAGTACGATGCACTGCTTTCCTATTCTGAATGACAATTACTTCATTTCAGGACAGTTATGCTGTGTTGAAAATAAGCTTTTTGATCTTCCATTCCAAACTGAGAACTAACTTACAAGGAAGTGGATATGCCAATTTACTCTTCAATAAGCGCTGAAACATGATCTAAAACTAAGGGAAGCTGTCAATACTTCACTTTCTCAATGTATAAGTAGTATTTGATCTAGAATACAACGAAGTGTAGATTATCATAATGGCCCTAATGCTTGTCTAATTTCTCAAAGGTACGGTTAAGGTCTTCTAATTTCAATGAGAACCAAAAAACTCGCAATATATAAGAGAATTAGCCCTTTATTACATTATGTTTTAGCTAGTGCTGTATACACAGACAATTCCAAATGCAGTTTAAGAATTTTCTTCTTCTTCTTCATTGATCTGGAAGTAACGTAGTTCGTATCCCATTGGACCGGCCGATACAACACGTAGCCAATCACGAAGGTTATTCTTTTTCAAAAATTTCTTGGTCAGGTATTTGAGATATCTATAATAAGGCAAAACAAGGGTTTAAAGTCAAAATCGTTGACATGCTAAAAAGTAATACGTTCAAAGGAAAAGGTTGGTTTTGGTGACTGACTTGGAGGATCTATTATAGCTAAATCATCAAGGTGTGCACTCGTGACCCTGTACTAGCTGTTTTTAGTACAAGGTCATAAGTGTGCACGATATTCATATATAGCTTTGTTTTTATCTACTGTACTAAGTATCTAATGTAATGATTGTACTAAGCATGGTTTATTAAAGTAATGCGGGACATATAGGCAGATATCCTTTCAAGCAGGGGTGTAATATGTTCAATCGCATTGATAGCATTGGTATACCTTTTTGAAAGAGGGATATCACTGTTAACTACCAATTTTGATTTTGTTTTCTCGATTATTATATGATCACTTAAATTGTTCGTTTTGCCTTCAACTTTGATGGTTCCATTAAGGAATTGTTCCTATCGAATGAGTAACTTTGAATTAATCATGGTGATAGGTGAAATTGATATGAGCTTGCGTTTTCTATACAAACACTTACAAAGTTTTCGATATCCATAATTTTGTCCTCAACAGGCTGGGCACAGTCCAAAGAGAACTTCAGCTGGATCTTCTTCTTTTTTTGTCTTTTCTGTAAGATTGATGAGTAAATAGTAGTTACAACCTAGTTGACTTTCATCATGCGGCGGCATACAAGGCTAAAAAAGTAAAAGCTTATCCTCTGTCGTGACGCTCATTTTTTTTTATACATCTTCATCAACGTCTACTCAATTACCAATCTGATGTAAAAATTGAAGTAATCCAGTCATCGTAACAATCTACTTCACTTCAATCATGTGGCATCAAATGGAAAAGTAAAGTAAAAGCTCATCCTCTCTTGTCTTTTTTTCGAGACCTTCATCAATGCATACTAATCTGATGTCCAGATCGAAATAACCCACATGCATCTCGGTGTGGCAATATTGCAACATTGGATATACAAGTACGGTATCATTTGGTATAAAATTTCATTTCTTCTCTACATCATTGCACTATTTTGCTATACAATCCATCATGATCGTCTATGATCATGTGTAAGTGATAAAAATGTATTTTAAGTCAGTCAGAACTATCATTTTTCGCTATTTTTTAAGAGGCACGGCAGAAAGACTTGCCACGAAGTCAAAGGAGTGTAATTGTCCACATTGTCCACTGTTTAAAGTTTACTACTTTCAAGATGAAACACTTTTAATGCGATTTTCTCTCTCTACTTGTTGATTACGATAAGCTAATCATGGATTTGAATGGACAGCAGTCGTAAAAAAAAGATTCAAGAAGAAAAACTGTTCACATACCTCGGGCATCTTCTCACAAGGATAGTTTTGGTTCTAACAGTGACAACGAAGGCGGCGGTAATCCACGAGGCCTTGACTTATAGTAATGAGATGCTGAAATAGTCGACAGCAGACCAGACTGCCAGACTCACAGGGAAGAAATAATGTCACCTGTGGTGATGATCTTATACTGAGCTTTAGCGATGGAACAATGACATTATTTTTGCAAATGATCGGAGACGTTTACAGTGTACAGTACAGTACTGTACAGTACCATTCGTACAGTACTTCTTTCCGGTGGTATTGACCAGAATGCAACGCGGGTGTGAACTACAGTGAAACTATACAGTGCACAGTACTGTAAAGGGCTAGAGCATGAAAAGTACTGTACTTGTTCGACCTTACCTCCGTCTGTCTGTGTTCATTCAGCAGCGGAGTCCAGCTGGGCAGTGTATCTCTCTCTCCTCGACAGTACTGTACAGTGTACACTAGGGTTAAAAACATGCACATTGAACATACAGTCCAGTACAGTGGTGTAGATCTCTTTTCCCTCTTTATGCTCGTACTGAACTCTCTCTCCTACCGGACTGGTCGACATCAACTACACTACCTACGGTAATTAGTGTGGATAAACGAATAGTGTGGGTTCTTAATTAGTGCTATCCACATTAAATATAGTATTACTAAAAATGGGCTAACGACCCACACTAAATATTGTAGTGTGCGTACGCACGCACGTACCTTGGGACGGTCAGTCTACTGGACTGTACGTGCTCCACGGGTGACGACTACAGTATGGTACGCACGTCCGTGTGTACTGTAGGTTTACCCGCATCTAGTCAAATCCTGTTAAGAAAGTACTGTAGAATGGGTAGCATAGTTTATTGAAACTTTTTTTATTTTAAAGCTTAATATCTGTAAAAGTACAAAACCTACAGCTTTAAAGTTTTCAGATTCTGATAGGTTATTTATTACTCTACATTTCGGTATAATTTTTGGAGCAAATTACTGCTCGATTTGGCAATACTAATTTTAAATTTGTGCGCGGCGATAATTTATGGACACCCTGTACACTGAGTGTACAGTACAGTACTCTAGTGGACATACAGTACAACACCAGTGACGTACACAGTATTGTACTGTACCGTACAGTACGATGTAAAAGCACAGGAACGCTGCTACAGTAGAGTGCCGTATTGTGACAGGACTGGGTACCAATCTGAAAGCTTTCCTTCACAAAATTGGATCAATTTGGTCTCCAACTTTTCCTATCGACCTGCATCTTTTCCCTTATAAGCAGTTCGTTGAACAGTGGAAAAGAATAAGAAAAGATTGTTTGTTACACCCAACTGGTGACTATTATAGTAATTAGGCAACGATCACCGTTGTATACAACACCACAAAAGGTACGTTATTACAAGGATGTCCACAGTGTCATTATTGCCAGTCGATTACTACCACAGTATTAATGCTGGACGCCTATAACCAAGTCGTTCGATGTTGCAATCTTCTTTTACAGGGTACCCAAAACGGTGAATCATTGGTAAAGGTTGACAAAGTTGTGGTAATACTCTTGAGGTAGACGGTATGGCTACTGGTAAAAGCAAAAAGGAAACGAAAATGAGAATTCGGGCTTTTCCGGTATATCAATTTTGCTTGTTCTATGGATGTCTTGAAGAAGTTTTAGTAGTGTTGAGTCGTAGTTGTTTTTGACTGATTGATATCAATTTTGAAAGCCAAATTGCATTTTACAACTTTGACTATGGTTATACACTACCTTGACTCTTGATAGGATTGTCTGCTATGATCAATGGCGTTATTCTTATTCATATTGCATCACTGGCTATACCCTGTAGACATGATATGATGATGATTACAAGGTATAACAGACATCCTGGCTTAACTTGTGCTCAAGTCAATGCTCCGCTGCAGACAACCACACTACTGTATATCATTCTACCGCATAGTAAAATACACTACAACACATTACTCTGGCTGTATTGCACTTGTGTGGACAGTCTACAATGTGTTAATATGGGCAAAAGCTTTTACTAACAGTCAATGACTACTTGTTCTAACTTTGCTAATACATTTCTTCAACCGACAAGGATTAATGACAGCCATGATTAGTCAATATCACGTCAAGAAGACAAACTATCGTCCCAATAATGATACAGAATGATTTTCCGATAGCATTAAACTACACTGGAGACATTTGTCACTAGTAACTTGTCAGTGATTGCAAATTCATTTTTTTTTATTTATTACCCTACCAAACACCTTCTTCACTGAACTGATGGAGATCTTTGTCTGTCGATGTTGAAACGATCCAGTACAGTACACTGAGTACAGTATGGTACTGTACTGTACAGTGTACAGTACTGTTGGCCGCCAACATCAACAGCAGCACAAAATTGTCATCACTTGCCTATTTTTATTTGATACACTTTGCACTAACGACAAGCAACAGTCATTCTCTCGACTATTGGATCAAGTTTGTTACACTTTGATGCTACTCCTTAAGCAAGTTATCGAGCCATTGAACGTATAGGATGATACCAATATGCTCATAAGATCGTATACAATTGGACGATCATAATAATCATCCAACTTTGACACCACTACTAGAGTTGAAAGCAAGGAATCTTGACTGCATCAGATATAGAACTAACTGAAATTATATTCAAAAGTTGAACCATTGATTGTGCTATTGAATATCAGCTTGCATTTTGCTTAATCAATTGTATAATGATGATCAATTAGATGAGTATGGAGGAGAAATACGTGGATGATATTTGGCAGTTATTGCGCAATGCCATCATAGAAATCCTTAACAAAAATAATAGTGGATTAAGTTTTGAAGAATTGTACAGGTAACAAGATGTGATCATTGTACCATATACGGATGATAAAATCTCCGTAGTCGTCCATTTTTGTTATAATAATGTAATTAACAAATCATTCTGCTCTTCATAGAAATGCATATACGATGGTACTTCATAAACATGGTGATAGATTATACACTGGTTGTAAGGATGTTATTGCAGAATATTTAAGAAAGGTAAGTAGAAAGAGGTGATCATCATATCGATTTATGGCTTATTGATTCACAAAAGAGAAAAGGGGAAATAGAGCCTACAACTATCCATGTATCCAGCCCGCTAATACAGGGTCTATTGTATCAACATTTAGGTTTGTCAAGATCTACGAAATTCCGTCGATAATAACTTTTTGACTATATTAAACCGTGCTTGGACAGATCATCAAACCGCAATGACTATGATTAGAGATATTTTAATGTATATGGTAAGAGTAACATAATTGTAATATTAATCAAGGGAATAAACATGTTGACATTCTTAATTTGATTTTTTGCATAGGACCGAGTATACGTCCATGGAAAAAGTTTAGATACCATCTATAACATGGGGCTTATATTATTTAGAGATTTGGTAACCACACATTATATATAGGAATTAGTTATTTGGAGTTACTTGTTACTGTCGTTATCAATCTACTGTACACAATTAATATCTTTATTGAGACTATGAAACAAAAACTATCAACTCTGTCATTGAAATAGGTTGCACGATCTGGCCATATTCGAGATTATTTATGTAAAACATTATTAGAACTTGTAGATAAAGAAAGACAAGGAGAAGTTGTAGATAGGTATTAATTATTATTTATTGTACCTTAGTTCTTTACTACAAAAATTTTGAATTGAAGAGAAAGTACTAAATTTCCTTATAATTCTGATTACTCTTTTCAATCGGTAATCATAGGGGAGCAGTAAAGAATGCTTGCCACATGTTAATAAATCTAAGTTTAGGAGGCAGATCTGTATATGAGGAGGATTTCGAGCAACCATTTTTGGAGCAGTCTGCTGAATTTTATCAAGTATTAACAATATTCCAAGTGAAGGGAATTGTAATTGCGTAGATTCACAACAAACTTTTCTTGCCTTTATAGCGTGAAGGCCAGAAATATTTGCAAGAAAATGATTCTTCAACATATATTAAAAAGGTGCAATTCTATCATTTTTATCCTTTGAAGTTTGTAATGCTTTATTACCAATGACGCTATTATTGCAGGTCGAAGGACGTCTAAATGAAGAAGCTGAACGAGCAGCACATTACCTTGATAAAAGTACTGAAAAGAGAATTGTTCGGGTTAGTTTAATGATGCACTATTGTAATTCTTACTTCGTAGCTTATAGGCTTACTTCAATTGATGCAGGTTGTAGAAGCAGAACTTATCGAAAAGCATATGAAGACCGTAATTGAAGTTCGTACTCAACAATTCGTCTGATGATAATTAAGTTTATAGAGTTGTTAAAACTTGCATTTATTAACAATTACGTCATAATTATAGATGGAAAATTCCGGTCTAGTAAGCATGTTAAGAAATGCGAAAATGGACGGTCCGTTTCTTATATTCCTTTATAATATCTATATGGATTCTAGTTGAAGTTGATCATTTTCTTACGGGTAAATGTAGATCTCGCACGCATGTACAGCATGATGAATCGTGTTCATGGAGGAGTTGAATTAATGTGTGATTGTATGGGCGTTTATCTGAAAAGCCAAGGAAAAGCCCTAGTCAATGATGATGATGGAAAAACTGGCATTGCTTTTATTCAGGTTTAGCAAAAAGCGAAAAATTATTTTCTTCTTAATTTTAATTACTCCGGAGTATTTAGGTAACTGATAAAGTAAGGCGTATACTTACTATTTTGTTTATTAATTGTAATAGAGCGTCATCGATCTAAAGGATATTTATGAACAGTTTCTGGAGAAATCATTTGATAACAATCGTCATTTTAAACAGACGATAAATAAAGTAAGTTGATTCTAAAGGTTGTATTAAGTTTTCTGACCAATTACTTAATTGATACTATAATTGGTTTCCATTAGGAATTTGAATCATTTCTAAATATTAACCCAAGAGCCCCTGAATATTTGTCTTTATATATCGACGATAAGCTTAAAAAAGGCACCAAAGGAGTTAGTCTAATGAAGATAATTTATTTTGTATTTATTCGTCGTTTTAACCTTGATATTTACAATTATTTTAGTTGTCGGATCAGGAAATAGAACTTCTTTTAGAAAAGACTATGGTATTATTTCGATATCTACAAGATAAGGTAAAATTGATTATACAGTAATGCTATTCTTATTCTGCATAATGAATGGCGATTTGCTATTGACAAACCAAAAACTTGCATACCCTCTGTTTATTATAATATTATTATAAGTTTTCAATAATTATAAGTGCCATAACTTATAATCGTAGTAGCTCAAAACTAATGCAACAACGTAGATTTTATTTGGCTATATCATTCATAAGCACTAGTTTGGTTAAACTTGTTGATCACCGACATCAGTCACTTAGATATATCTATATTCTAGAATCCGCCGTATTTACGGAGGAGTATCGTCAAAGTTGGGCAAACGTTTTTGATGATGTATTTGTGAAAAGTTTCTCTACTTACAAGATTAAATTTATGTAATATATTTGAGAGTTACATAAAAAGTAAATATTTGTCTTGCTTGTAGGACGTATTTGAAAAATATTACAAACAACATTTAGCCAAGAGATTGCTTCTTGGTAAAAGTAGTTCTAATGAAATGGAGAACAGTATGATTTTCAAGTTAAAGGTATAATGATTATTTTATTAATTGTACATAAATTTAAGCTAATTTCGCTAATCTTTATTTACATATTTGCATAATTTGTTTAAAATTATCCTTAGTCGGAATGTGGATGTCAGTTTACATCGAAGTTAGAAGGAATGTTTAAAGATATGTCGGTATCCGAAACTGTAATGGAGAAATTTAAGAAGCATTTAGATAGCTCTCAGGTTCGTGGAGCAATATTTATTTTACAATTTTCACATTTTATATTGTCAAGATCTATTGCGCTTTTATTGATAAATTAAATTAAATATTATTTTGATATCAAATATTAAATATAGACCACCATAAACTTTGATCTGAATATTCGTGTCCTCACTGCTGGTTTTTGGCCTTCTCAGTTATCTTCAAACCAATGTAATATACCCACAGAAATTTCTACCTGTTATGACGCTTTTCAGAGGTATAATATATTACATGAGTTATACTATTAGATCACTAATTACCATCACATTATTACATTACTGTATTGCTACATTATATCGCTATAGTTGCTACTAGTTTTGTAATAATAGAGTTACTTGATACAATCGCTCAATTGCACTTATATATGATCACTTGCATTTCTTTTAATAGTTTTTATTTAGGCGGTCATAACGGGCGAAAACTAGTATTACAAGCTCAATTGGTATGCTTTATTTGCAATTGTAATTTATAAATGACGTTGTGGAAATAACAAACTTGCCTTTAAATAATAGGGATTTGCAGATTTACATGCCACGTTTTTTGGCTCCAAAAAGGTAGCTTAGGTAGAGCTTTGTGTTGTTATCGTTTTGCGTTGGATATGTAACGTTATCCGTCCTTACTTTATAGCCTGATAGCGTTAAGCTTGAAACTAGGAATCATATTTTACAAGTATCGACTTTTCAAATGGTTATATTATTACTATTCAATAGTAAAGAAAAATTATCATTCGAGGTACAAGCTATGAACGTGTGCATAAATGACTTTTTTATTATGTCCTATTTTGCTAAGAAGTAATTATTATTAGGAATTAAAGATTGCAACGAACATTCCGGATCGGGATTTGATAAGAGCATTACAGTCACTTGCTTGTGGAAAGACATCGCAGAGAATATTAACAAAAAATCCAAAATCAAAAGAGATAGGTAATACAAATATAACTTGGTAGTTAAATCAATTTAATTGGCTTTAATTTGCGTTATTTTTTATGCCTTTAGGTCCAGCTGACGAATTCATTGTTAACGACAATTTCACTTCTAAACTCGTTAGAGTAAAGATACAAACAGGTGAATTGCTGTCCATAGCTGTTCTGCAATTATATAGAATTTGCTAATTTAAACATGTTTTAGTATCAACGAAGGGCGAATCGGAACCGGAACGGAAGGATACGAAGCAGAAAATTGACGACGATAGAAAGCATGAATATCTTTTAATATACTATGTTATAGCGTGATGTAGTCTCTTTATCGTACAGCTACGCTAATTCATTTTTGGTCGATATGTATTACGGATTTTGAAAATTTCTTTAACAATTATTACGATTGAAGCTGCCATAATTAGAATAATGAAGGCTAGGAAGCAATTACATCATAGCGCATTAGTCGTCGAGGTATACTTGTAAATCGAAGTTGTGATTACATGTTAAATGAAAGCATTGTATTTGATGATAATATGATAAAATTGAGCATTGATTTAATCTAAATTTATCCTGTAATAGACTACAGAACTATTAACGGCAAGGTTTATGCCTCATCCTATGGTTATTAAGAAGAGAATTGAAAGCTTAATTGAAAGAGAATATTTACGCCGTACCGATGATAGGTAATTTACTCAATTATGTAAAGTATGAGATTTTACATGAGATACGTCGTTGCCATTGTTATTATTTAACTGTACTCATGTTTTCTTTTATAATCTTACAGGAAAATGTATTCCTACGTTGCATAAAGGATAGACTATATAAGATATTTGACAATTAGGTATCTACAATCTTGTAAGCGAACTAGTACAGTATAGTAATATTATTGTATATTGTTCTAGTAAAATCGTTCTATCACTTGTATACGCAATTAATAATTTTGCGTTTAGCTGCTGTTTACGACTTGATTGTACAGAATTTTACTCAAACGGATGCATTTTTGATGTTAAGTATTCAATTATGATACCTTTAACTTATGCAGACTTGTTTGTTTATGCGTAAGTTAAATTTAACTGTTAATACTCTATGAAGTTGTTTTCTTAACTTTTAATAGACTGGTATTACTTTACGAAATGGTCGTAACAATTTTTTTTGGACTAAAATGTAAACTTGATCTAGTGTATTGCAGGATCAATACTAATATTGGTGTATGCAACAGGCGCTTATCTATTCTGTGTAAATGCTTTTACATTGTCTTTTAGTACTTAGCTAAAGAATGATTTCTGAACTGTCGTCTCTAATAGTTATACGAGAGATAATTGGCATTTTGTTTTGCTTCAATTCGCCAATAATAATTAAGATACACAATTACACATGGGTGCAAAACATTTTTGTAACATAAAGCAAATTATATTTAATCTTACTGGGCATAAGCGATCACAATACCAACATTAGTAAAGGAATTAGGCTAATCAATCAAAATTAAAATTGCATGATTTTTTACTAATATTTGTTAGTATCCTTAGCAACGATGTATGTTGTTAGTTTTACAATAAAAGGATTCTAAAGCAAAACGTTATGCGTATTTGTTAAAATGCTCAATTGGTAGAATTAGCAAACTATAATTTGCTCAATAAACCAGTTTCGGGAGCTGATGTTGCGATTAGTTTTTGAATATCCCTAAATTGGGGATGTTTCGATCCTCCCATGAGAGCAAGTAAAACACATTCACTTGTAGTTATATAGGCCCCCGATTGTCGCAGTCTTTCAATCCCGTACATGCGGTCTACCATGGAGCGTGATGAAACTGCATCTGCTACAATATGAACCTGTTTAATGTAAAGAATATTAGCAATTATTTATTTATTAATATATTATTAGGAGGATTTTCTTATTCATGAGCTCGTAATAATTAGAAATAGAGATAAATCTGCTGTTGCAAAAGCAGCATCAATGTGCATTGATCGAGTGGAAATTAGGCTACTGAGAGCTTTATACCTCGTAATCTTTATCAATAAGGTCGATTGCAGTATGGTGTATGCAGACATGAGTTTCTATGCCAAATAATACAATAGATTTAACATGTGGCATTTCCTTCAATAAGGCTTCAGTTTCAGGCACCAGCATGGAGAAGTCCGTTTTCGGAAATATTCCTTATAATGATAAGTAGGTGATTTTCAATGAGATTTAGAGCTTTCATTTCAAATATATTATGAAGTTGTTAAGTACGTTATTAGTCATATTGATAACCATACACGATAGCATTAGAGTTAAATCTACCTTTAGCCTTGCTGGTGTCTAAACTTGAAACAGTTTTTCCCAATCCTTAAATACAAATAGAGGACATTAGAATATCAATATAGTATACTATAATTGCAAATAAAATCTCTTGTGTATACGATTGTACGGCCGGTTGTACTACTAGTTTCCAATTATTTAGCGATAATATTCGGTAGATTGTTTATAAGTTATGGATAAACCCGGAAATTAGAACATAATCGAAGCTATTTAATGACACACTTCCTGCAACTGCGTATACACATCTGCAACTCTAGCTTGATAATGATATCATTGGGAGTTTTTAAACTGCTTATTGAGCTATTCGAATATTTTATATAACGTTCCTTAAACTAGAGCATTCAATCATTGGAAATCCTCCTACCGGTATACGTGTAAAACAATAATTTATTTAGATGCACAACGTCTATTTACATAAAGTTTAATAATTTCACAAGGCTCAACTAGCACCCATGTACTGTGACGAGAATGGAAATTGTTGAATCGCTAGCGTGATCATAAGGTTAAACTAGATATTTGGAATTGAATTCTTTTTTTATCGTACAGATAGCATTACGATATAGAAATTAATAAAAGTTTAAATGTACGTTATACGTGTACTTCATAGAAAATCAAGTTTGAACCTATCAGATTATGAAGATTTAGATAGGTGTTGCAGCATGCTGGTTTCAGGGCAGAATTGGTACACATTTGACAGGTTGGATGTTAATTAAGGCACATCTTGAAGTCAACTGCAGTACTTTTAAATGGGCATAACATTAATATGGAAAGATCTGTTGTAATGGAATATGTTCTCATTGTACGAACGAAGGAATAATACGCATACTTGACAGAATTCAGACAAGCAGACCAATCGTTTAACTGTCCAGTAAAGAAGTTTATCAAGATTTGTCACGTAGTCTGATTGGTATAATTTACTACTGTCATATACAGCCTACCGGCATATTAAAAAACACAGATAAATAAAACAGACGTGCGTACCATTTAAAACTGAGACATAATGATTGCAACTTCATCATCAAGTCTATAGAACTAATCTGTCATGGTGTATTATTCTTATAGAAATGGATATAAAATAAACGACTGTTATTTTTGATATCATTCCAGTGGGTGGAATTCCGTGGTAACGGGAGATTTTAGCCTATCTACGCATCAGATATTGATCTGTTTGGTTAACACAAACGAACTGTAGGGTAGCGATGCGATTGAAAATTAGCACTATTCCTAAGAAAATTTTGACTCCACGGGAATGATAAAGATATCCATACAGTATTCCATCTTAAAATAAGGTTAGTTCAGTCATTGGATCATGCCATCACGATCTCCATTACCTTGAGGATATTGTTCAGTTGCGATTAAAGGAATATTCAAGGTATTGGCTGCAGCGATCAATCGTTGTTGTACAGCTACAATATCATCGAAGTAGCGAATTGTTTTGGTAAATTTCTCTTGCATATCACAAAGAAAAAAGGACGTTGAATTGGCTGCTAAACGACCAAGGCGTGCAGTTGCTCTTGCCATCTTGATTTAGATTGAATTTGCTTTAAATTAATTGTTGGCTCAGGCCTGCAAAATGTGGCTTGGGAGATACCTACCGATCGCAATCACCTACAGTAATGTCTGCTACTACGCAGTTTTCTCCAGGTTATAGAGGTGATAGACAGGATACGCCTTTGCTAAAGTCTTTATGAGTGTGCATTACATGGGTAAAATCTCATACAAGTTTATAACTGTTTTCCCTCGATACAGTCGTTTCCCCAGGGATTATGGTACTGTATTATGCAAGCGGATAGGTAGGGGGTGGATTAGCCGGCTTGCTCCGCTTTTACCTCCCTGTTTTGATGTTCATGAAAGATGTCGGTAGAGAACCTTTGCTGTATTTCTATGGATGACATCGTTGCACTTATGATTCTAGGTTGTAAGAGCTCTTACAGCTACTCCGTGTGCAAATTCTACTTTAATATTGTAAATCAGACCCTCGGAATATTGTATCGTTATTATATTGCGCTGACCCAGCCAGGTGTGGAGTTGATCGAGAAATAAAGTAGTAGCGGGCCTTCACTAAAGTATACAACCGAGCTGCCTCCTCCGTTTTCGATCAATTATATACTGTATATTAATAATTCACAACAGAACAGTGAATAACGAACAAGAAAATGCTGTGGTAATTCTGCTTAGCTTCCATGTACGAGAGACACTCCACTCCGATTTAGCTGGGTTGTGTCATCATTTGGCATGAAAAAAGTTGAATCTTTTGAAGATGATGAATGATTTGGACCTAGTACAGTGTACATTCTGTAGACTACAGCATAGCTATTACCATAGACTACTAGAAAAGACTAGTTTTAGTAGTCCTTGTCTAAGGAATCATTAGTAATGATACTCTATCGGAATATAGGATGGAAATTTTCCGAAATACGATAGGAGGTAAGCGTGAGGAAAAGTGTGTCTAGCATGCGAGTATGCGGCACAGCAGTAATGTAGTTAGTCGTATAGATCAAGCTTAACAACAGGTGTATCCTTCATTCGGTACACGTAGTTTGGATAGAACAAGTTATATGGCAGGAAATGGACGAGCTAGGCTAGATTTCGCCGAGAGCTTGAACTCTTGAACTCTTGAACTCTGTAGTAGCAGAGCAACTCGGCTTAAGCTAAATACAGTATCGCCAATGATTTTAGGTTGCAGTAAGAAGGTTTTCGAGAGTACTGTCCGCTATTACGGCAAGACAACTCGTGCCAAACAGATGATGAAGATTAAACCACCCCCACCAATATGACTATGACATGTTTGAGTTTGTGCAACAGATTTTCAGTGTTTTTCCTTCACTTCATTATTGCATTACCATATAGCAGTAGATATAAAATATGTTGTACTAGGTAACAATATAGGGATAATCTGATTGGGCAACTAATTCAATCCATAAGCTTGATTTAGTTGGTAGAATTGGACTGTTCTAGATGTGAGATACGATTGCTTGCGGAAAGCAGACGTTACTTTGGGCTACTAATTCAATCCATAAGCTTGATTTAGCTGGTAGAATTGGACTGTTCTAGATGTGAGATGCGATTGCTTGCGGAAAGCAGACGTTACTTTGGGCTACTAATTCAATCCATAAGCTTGATTTAGTTGGTAGAATTGGACTGTTCTAGATGTGAGATACGATTGCTTGCGGAAAGCAGACGTTATTTGGGGCTACTAATTCAATCCATAAGCTTGATTTAGTTGGTAGAATTGGACTGTTCTAGATGTGAGATACGATTGCTTGCGGAAAGCAGACGTTACTTTTGGGCTACTAATTCAATCCATAAGCTTGATTTAGTTGGTAGAATTGGACTGTTCTAGATGTGAGATACGATTGCTTGCGGAAAGCAGACGTTATTTGGGGCTACTAATTCAATCCATAAGTTTGATTTAGCTGGTAGAATTGGACTGTTCTAGATGTGAGATACGATTGCTTGCGGAAAGCAGACGTTACTTTGGGCAACTAATTCAATCCATAAGCTTGATTTAGCTGGTAGAATTGGACTGTTCTAGATGTGAGATGCGATTACTTGCGGAAAGCAGACGTTACTTTGAGCTACTAATTCAATCCATAAGCTTGATTTAGTTGGTAGAATTGGACTGTTCTAGATGTGAGATACGATTGCTTGCGGAAAGCAGACGTTATTTGGGGCTACTAATTCAATCAATAAGCTTGATTTAGCTGGTAGAATTGGACTGTTCTAGATGTGAGATACGATTGCTTGCGGAAAGCAGACGTTATTTGGGGCTACTAATTCAATCAATAAGCTTGATTTAGCTGGTAGAATTGGACTGTTCTAGATGTGAGATGCGATTGCTTGCGGAAAGCAGACATTATTAACAAAGAGATTTAGCTAAAGCACCCACACAACGTATACGTATTTCTTATTATTGATTGAATTAGTTCATCAATGTTACCACTACATTGTCTGTCTTTTTATCAAATCTCCTTAAATCACCCACTACCATAACGGTTCAATTGAACAGGCGGTTTTCTAAAACTAGGTATGGACAGGGAGAATAGATATTACTTGATGAAAAGTTTAAGTGAACGCCAGAATATTATACGCGGTATCGTAAACATTATCACTCGAATGTCATCATCAATCTACCTAATTTCTTATCCATACAATTCGCCGAATAAAGTATACAATTTCTTGTTGTAAGATGTAAAAACTATCAAAGTCGCGGTACATAGGCTGGTGAGTTATTTACATGGTCGTGGCATTGAATTTATAAATGTATTGTAATCCACGATTTGCTGCGCTATCTTCTATTTATTACTGTGAACATTGATAATTTCATGGTAACATATCAAATTATGTATGAACTAATAGCTACATGAAATTTCGTTAGAAGTTACTACATTCGATACAAATTATAAAAAATAAAACAGCTACCAATAAGTCGTATCCATAGAAATTTATCATAGAGTATTTTAAGAGACAGGGAAGTTCTGTTAGTTGCTACTAGTATGGATGAAGTAAAGATCTAAACATAAAATGTGACAGACTTGGATAGGATCATTAAGCACAAATAAATGAAGAAAGTTAGTGGCAAATCTTGTTAATTGCTGACAGAATCCTATGATTGAGTAAAATGAACAATAGAAAAAAAATGAATGCAAATATGGAAAACACTTTTCTTCGCTGCACTGTACCGTACTAGACATACCTTATATTCATACGTGATTTAACTTATTTGTTACAATAGTAATTAATTATAGTTTAGTAAAAATTCAAAAGTCAAACTTACATTGATTCGGTCATTCGCTCCGTTTCACACAGGTTAACCAGAACATAAACCATACGCATGGCATAGTCATTCTATCAAATATAATAGTCTATTAGCTACTAGACCTTGTAACAACTCTACTTTATTAAAATCTTCTACATTACCTTGCCAAGGTTATAACATTTCTCTGAGAACGATTTAGTCATAACATGTAAACAATCAAAATTCTTAATATCATGCTTTTGGTGATGCATAATATGATGAGCAAGTTCAAAATTGTTTTCAACAGCTTCTATGAGAATGGATCGTATCGTCTTATCAATTTTTTCGCGATGCTGCAAGGTTTAGTAGAGGTGTGAAAGGATAAAATATTTAAAGATTGATATCTATTAGTAATCATGACATATAGGAAAGATTAAATTTACAATTTACAGATTCATACGATCTCCAATTTACGACATTCGTGTTTTACCTCAATTAGCTTCTCTAACTGTCCTATATAGTGTTGTCGCTCAGTCTTTGATGTGGCATCAGTAATACGGTTACTTAAAATAACTACTGGTACATCTGGAGCTGCGACAGTGTCCATCGGAGGTAACGGATAAGGATCGAATAGTTTTGATGGAGTATTGGATTTTGGATCGCCTTGAAAATTATCTAGATCTTCCTCGTCGAATGACTAGCCAAACACAAGATTGTGGTTAAAGGATATAACTTATTTATAAATCAATTTTTTCTTCCTATCCAATAATTCTACAAGGAAATTACCATATCACCATATTTGCAGACTTTACTAGTATTGGTCTTTCTTCGAACGGTATCAAACTGTTGAATTAAGGTTTCTGTTTGCATGTCAGCCTAGAATTTCGTTTTATTATTTATTGCAATGAACAAAAGCTGTAGCGTAAAAGGAAGCCACAGGAAAATGTGGATTTAAAGTTATCAATTATTATTAATTAATCGTATCACTTTATACCTGATCGGAATTTTGCATCCAATTTATGCTGTATACATCACCAAGATATGTGCCCCTTTTCCTATCATAATAGCAGGCGTACGAGGAATGAGTCGGATCGGAAGCAGTAGTAACATAAACTGTCGAAGAAAATGAATCAGATCTTAAATATTGCACACGTGTGACTATATTTCATGGATTAAGGTTTTACAATTGTATTAATACCATTTTTGTTATCGGCTAAGACATTATGAAACATTGATCCTGCCTCACAAGCTTCAACGTAAATAACCAACTAGAATCATAGAGAAATGTTCAAGTTGTAGATTTATCTTATCTGATTCATTATATAATCAGTATAGAAAGCGGATTTGAACCTGTTTGAACATTTTCTTCATGTACATTTGGTTGATGGTCTGGTTAAGCATCTTAGCGGTTAACTGATTAAGGAAAGGATAACATAAAGAAATAGTTATGATAAGGATAAAGATATTTTGTCTGCTGTGTATAGAATGATTAATCAAAATAGAATGTGATATTACTTACAATGTCCTCAGGAAAGGCCACAAGACCTTGCGCACCATGATCGACAAAATTGATGAAAACACGATCATTTGGCCCACTATTTGAGAAAAAGATTGCATGCTTTTAAATGGCCTTAGCACGATTTCTATTACAGTAATTAACAATTTCAATAAAATTGTTTGCTGTTTCCGTTACGAGATATAATATCAGACCTCTTCAGTACTTTTCCACTGCCACCGGTGACTTTGTCTGCATTACCCAGTAAAACGTTGATGAAATTTGTTGGATTGACATGCTATTATGTAAACAAAAACAAATAATTGAAGTTATTTCTAATCAAAAGGACTATAAATTTTAAACTTCGATGTCCATGAGAGTGATTTCAACGGAAATGATGTAGTAAGACGATCAACTTACATTTTTGGTGTAATCTTTTAGAACGTTGGCGTATACGTTAGGACCATAAGGCTAATAAAGGAGAAAAAAGGAATAATATGAGTAACATTTTGCAGATGCTGTACTAGTTGATAAAATATGAAAAGACAGAGACACTGCCGATTCCTCATAAGAGCAGTTCATTTTAAAAGCATACGTGTCCTTTTAAGATTGCCAAATATCTTGACAGTAAATTTGCCCTTATATATACCCATGTGCTGACAAGAGCAAAAAAGTGCTCCAAGATTACTGTGTAGTAATCATTAAGATCGATAAAATTAGACTTACCCTATTGATAATCTTTCCAGGGGTTGGGTTGCTAGTTTAGTCAACAAAACAGATGAAAACAAAATGTTCGAAATGTCAGTGTTTCATCCATAACTAGCATTAGGAGAGCTGTGATTGCGACTTACTTTTCGTTTTCGGCAATGTCATCGTACATCATGACCACAATACGCTCATCAGGGAATCCATTTTTATGAAGGATCTGATAAGCATGGCATATATCGGCCTAAAATAAAAAATCAGTAAGATTTGAATGAGATTGAAAGAAATGAAGGCCAATGTTGTACAAGATTGGAAAATAGGCATTGATATTCTTGAGTATAACCTGGCTATTATACGGTATTTCATACGTGTATAGCAAAGTCTTTTCATGATTGCGCTATTCATTTTAGTCTTATCCTTTTGAATAGGATATTCAACTCAAATTGGAATGCTCCATTCTGTCATAGCGTGTAACACCATGTCGAGAAAATGAATACTATTGCCTTGTTTACATACTACAAAACGACCGATGATCTTCATTTTCTCTACTATCTATCCATCTCCCATACAATAAATGGAAGAAAAGTGGCAATCGATCTAGTAAAGTATTAAGCGATCGCCATTTACAGTAATAGAACGTAGAAGTAGTGTACTCTTTCCAGTGTAGGCAAATTGATTATCGTCAGTTCCATCCTAATATGAGCCAAGGTTGCAAAAAAGGTGAGCAGTAGTCGCACGATGGAGATGCTTTACTGTTACGCATTCATTCCTCTCCTTTCCTACTTAATACTGTATGTAAAGGATATTCAACTCAAATTGGAATGCTCCATTTCTGTCATAGCGTGTAACACCATGTCGAGAAAATGAATACTATTGCCTTGTTTACATACTACAAAACGACCGATGATCTTCATTTTCTCTACTATCTATCCATCTCCCATACAATAAATGGAAGAAAAGTGGCAATCGATCTAGTAAAGTATTAAGCGATCGCCATTTACAGTAATAGAACGTAGAAATAGTGTACTCTTTCCAGTGTAGGCAAATTGATTATCGTCAGTTCCATCCTAATATCAGCCAAGGTTGAAAAAAGGTGAGCAGTAGTCGCACGATGGAGATGCTTTACGCATTCATTCCTTTCCTTTCCTACTGAATACTGTATGTAAAGCATTACCATCAAGATGCATGACGTAATAGTCTTACCGGACAATAACATCCGAAAAGTACACACAGGATCCAAGTGGAATAAGTTCGCGATTTAGAATCAAAATTCGATTGGGAAGTACATGGATCCCTCAGTAGTATCACACAGTATCACTGTGTAACATTTCTATATCGTGAAATTGTCAATGGGAATATGTGTAAACGAATTATTTTATTTTTCTGGCCTTCCTTGCAGAGAGATGGTCAAGTGGTATACAGAGTACAGTATAGCGTGTTTCATTTCCTTTTCGACGCTTGAACTGGGGGAAAAATATATAACTAAAAACTAACGTGTCAATACAATAGTTTATAACGACATGTAATCTTGAAGTTAACTGTATGTATAGAAGTAGTTGTATGGATAGCAATCACTTTGATTGATACATTTAATTTAAAATATTGGATGCTAAAATAACATTGCTGTCCTACGATGGAAAACTTACTTGATGTCTGTAATTGTCCCAACCATTGGAGCCAGCTACGAGGACTGCCCAATTTTTGCCGTCATCTTCACGAGAATGCAACGATGGTAGAGCTAGCAAGAGCCCCGTTAAACAGGTCATAACAACGATGACTGTTAATTTCCACATTTTACTCTTGTATGCAAGGGATTCTCTCAATAATTGTGAAATAAGTTGGAGCTATATCTGCAACAGCCAGAAGATTAATATTTGACAGTAGTGGAGAAGAAGGTTAACGCGCAACTACTGTAAATCGACGTGGATTGACTGACAGACTGACGAGTCCGTCGTACACTACAATGGCTATTGTTTACATTATTGGACAAGCAGAGACAAGTACTATCCTACTGTACTATGGCGACTGGTGATAGTTTTCAGTATGTATATAGTTACAGTATCAGAGCAGGTCAGAGTCACGTGACATACAGTAGCATCACGCAGGACAGTACTGTACACTGTATACTACTTTATCCTTCTGTACAGTGTACAGTGTACAGTGGACTATGCAGTACTGTACACTGTGCACTGTACAGTTTGTCCCAGTCCATTTTCCCCATAAACTTCGAAAGTAAAAAATTGAAATTTCTGTCGATTTTCAATAAAATACAAGTCAATCGATAGATTGTATAACGTAGTTCTGCATATAGTTAATTTCTGTCGATTTTCAACAAGATACAAGTCAATCGATAGATTGTATAACGTAGTTCTGCACATAGTTAATTAGACTGTATAACGTAGTTCGGTATATAGTTAATTTCTGTCGATTTTCAATAAAATACAAGTCAATCGATAGACTGTATAACGTAGTTCTGCATATAGTTAATTTCTGCCGATTTTCAATAAAATACAAGTCAATCGATAGACTGTATAACGTAGTTCTGCATATAGTTAATTTCTGTCGATTTTCAATAAAATACAAGTCAATCGATAGATTGTATAACGTAGTTCTGTATATAGTTAATATGTTATACTATAGCAGTTATTGTACCCAGATAAATCGATCAATTGATATTGAGTCAATCGATAGATTGACATGTATTTTATTGAAAATGGACAAAAATTTCAATTTTTTGTCGATAAAATTTTTCGGGAAAAAGTTCTGGGACAATTTGTACAGTACTTAACCCTCCTGTATACTACAGTATGATCCTTTTCCAAACCGATAAATCAGTACACATTAATGTATACTGAACGCCGGCATTTTGGTACGAAATCCGGTCAATTTTTGATACAGTATGTGGAATTGGTGTATATGTCATATATTGGTTCATAGTAAAGCGTTGAACTTCATATTAAAGAATTAGATACCAAAAAGATCACGCTGTACAGTTGAAGTTATTGTAAAACTAACTACTAACTCTATTCTCTCTTTCTTGTATTGAAAAATGCCGGCTTATGCTCGCCATACTTTGCATATTTTATACGCGTAGGGAACATATGAAGGGACAGTAGAGGACATGGTGAAAAATAATTCTGTTCAATGGATTCCAGAAAAGCATGTTGGATTCATACTTTTACTCTTGTAACTACTCTAAATCAAACGTAAAATACATGCGTATAATCTTAAACCCTACCAACTACTGTTGGTATCTTTAGTCTGGCAACAATTCTCAACGAAGCAAAGTCACGTCTTATTTGCATTTGGTACATACTTTATTTAAGTCATAGTTAACTAGGATTGCGGACAACGTGCTAATATTACAGAAAGATAATACATATGTACATTACTATTTAATTTGCGACAACTACTGCAGAATGGACGAATTTACTGTAACACACTAAAATCCTACTTTTAGTTATACAAATACTGTACATAGATACAGCACGCGTGCATTTATACAATTATTTTTCCCATTCACTTGATTGACGATTCAATAAGGAAAAGATCTTATAGACTAGTATGGTACTTTGAAATAACACACATATTTTTCTTTTTTGTTTGCTTGGAGCATTAATCAGCATGTGGCAGGCTAAAAGAGTAGTTCAATGGCGCAAGTCCTGTACAGTCCATTATTACTTTATCTTGTGATTACTTCTACCAGTATGTGATGTATTGTTATGTGTTTCAAAGAAACTTTATGATAATTGAACTATAAAAAATTAAAGAAGCCAATTTTTGGCCAATTTCCTTAATTATCAGTGATATACTAATTACGAAGAACGCATTTTATTAAACAATTGCATGACAGGATCCAAACGCCTCAAGGGGCATTAATTCACTGGAGTAAGCAAATGAGATAACTTTAGGTAATTAGGTAAAAGTATTGATGAGTCTATCGGTAGTGGTTATGTATAATATAACACTATAGTTTGTAGTTATAGTATTTATAAATTTCCTTACAGAGCTTTTACGAGCGAAGAGTTATAACTACAATCATAGCTATGAAAATTCTTATGTGTTAATGAGAACAGAGGCGAAAATTAAATCATCATGCCACAAGTTTCAGGACGGTTCCTATGGTAACATAATTAAAAGCAATATATTATAATGCATCCAAGATTTAGATGAAAACAAGTTAAAAGCTATACTTTCATGAAGGATAGAAATACATACGCAATTATCAAATATTGCCCAGCAGAGTATCGACTACATTAACTTTGGTCAGAGTCGGTAAACCCGGATACTACGCCTGTATTTCAGAAAAAATTATGCTCAAGAATTCCAACGATCACGTAAGCCCAAGTTAATGGCGGACAGACGTCAATTACAAATAATCTTAGGTAATAAAAATGATGGACAGTACCAAAGCAAACTTCGTGCTAGAGTTTTATTGGAAATGTGGGATAAAAATCCTGAATTAAGACCAGAGGGCCACGTCTATACTCATGGTTTTTATCCTCCCCAATTAATAGCGGATCCTGACCCAGATCAGTTACCTGAAAAATGTAAGGTGCTATTTTTATTTACAAAAAATATCTCCAATAGTTATTCACCTCGTTTCCGGAATGAAATACTTCAACTGCCTGATATTTCTGATGAAATTGATGATTTGCCTATCAATACGGTCACTATCTTACTTGGAGCAATCACTTTGATTTCATTAATTTATTGGAATTATTATGGCCACATCAATGCATTCCGTAGCCCTAAATTGCCTATTAGTCTGCATAACGCTTGGATAGAATGCTGTAGGAAATTGCATCGAATTCCTTCCTATACAATTGACACTCTAACTATAGATAATATTCTTTTAATAAGATCTGTTGAAGAGTTTTCTCGTAAAAACATAAGGCAAAGATTTTCATTTTTTAATGCGGATGAATTCGGCTCTAGTTCCGAAACTACTTTTTTGGGATATTCATTCGCTGCTCTCAGATATGCATGCCATGGCATTGTAGACATAGCGTTAAATCTTCAGCTGGCTATGCACAACCATGATAAAGAGGGGATTATAGCAAATCTTAACCAATTAATTGTAATGGCTGATCAAGCGTCTAATGCGCTGTCAGAAGTCAAGCTTAATCCCTATGCCGAAATAGCTATAATCCCTTCACATTGGAGCATTCTAGGCCAAGTTGGACCTATTCCACCAGAGCAGCTATTAAGTCCTAAGAGTAAGAAAACAGTCGAAGTATTAACTGAAGAGAATTTAAATTGGAATACTGCTACAGATGAAAGCTTAAATAACTTAGCGAATGAGAATAAGTTATACGGGACTACTGCTAGTGGATTATTTGATCCCATTTTTGCCACTTTTGATATAATTATTGATCGATCACATACATCGGAACTTGGGAAAATGTTTATTAGTACACAGCGACTATTGCCTAAAGCCTATCTACAATTCTTAGAGGCGTTTAGATCAGATTTTAAGAAAACAGGTAGCCTTAGACAATACTTAGAAACTTTTGGTGATTCAGAATTAGCAAAGACTTTTAATTTACTCGAGCGCTCCTACCATAGATTTTTGAATATGCATCGTAGCAAAGCCCTAGGACTTCTATCTTTTGCAACCCAAATGGATAGAAATATGACTGTAGCTAATAGAGAGACAAAGTCTGAAAACGCTTACAAGGAAATTAGCGCTGATTTAGATGCAGGAATTAACGATCGTCAATTTATAAGCCGATTGTATCCTGCAACTATTCAATCTACTCCTGCAAATCTTAATCAACGTAAAAATCTACAATATGTAATGTTATTTATTGGTAGTAAAACCTTTTCATATCGAGAGGGTGACAAAATCGGTGTACTAATACCAAATACTGCTACAAATTATCGCAGTATATCTCAAAATTTTACATTAAACATACATACTAAAGATCCAGTTGAAAGCCAATGGATACTATTTTTGCGTCAGTATTTTGGAATAGTGGATGGTAAGCTATCAAAAGAAATATTCATCAAATATGCTGATTTTTCGAATAGCAATATTAAAAGCTCTCCATCAGAAATTCCTCCTAAAGTACCTCGTGTATATAGCATAGCCTCATTCGATAATGACAACATTAAAATACTTGTTGAACGCATAGATAATGGGGAAGTATCACCAATACTTGCACCTCAAAATAATTTATTTAATAAAGATCAAATTGTTAATATTTTTCCTGTTAGTTCTTCATTCCAACTTCCACAAGATACTTCAAAACCAATTGTCATGATTGGTATAGGTTCAGGGGTTGCTCCATATCAATCATTTATTGATCGTAATAAGAAAATGGATGAAGGTCGCAATATGTTTCTATATTTTGGTTGCAGGACTAAAGAGGGTGCTCCTGATAAGATCGATTACACAAAACTCTGTCTCTCTGCAGATAATAGGCAAAACTTGAAAGAATCGGAATACATCTACAATGGTCGAATTACTAGTTACTTATCATCAACAGAAGGGCAAAATAAATTGCGTGAATTATGTTCTCAAGGTGCATTTATTTACATTTGTGGTCCAACAACTTTGTATAGAGATATGATTACAGTATTGAAATCGGCTATAGGTATAAAACAACTATTGACAATGTTGACTGATCGTATTAGAATTGAAGTATATAGACCAATATCAAATGATGGTAGACGGAAAATATCGGTATACGATGTTATCACTCATAATGGAGGATCGAATGGTTCGTGGATGGTTATTGATGACTGTGTCTACGATGTCGGCCAATATATCGATCTTCATCCAGGGGGCAATGAAATAATAGAATCGGTATTAGGAACCGATGCAACGGCGTTATTTAATCTATTTCCGACTTTACATGGAAAAATGGCACGATCAATCTTACAGTTATACTATATTGGTGATGTTGAGAAATTAGGTAACGATTTTGAAAGGTTAGCTTATGACGTGACAAGGAAGCAAAATTCTATTGCTGCATGGTATGGTGATAATCGTGAAAAGCAATATTTTTTCGTCATGAAAAATTTGGATGCTCATGTTGCGTGTCAACATTATTTTAATGACGTGAAGAAATCCTTAGTTGGAGATGGTAGAGTTAATAAAGAATTACCCGCTTTACAGGTGATACATGAGTATAATGAATTAGTTCAAGATGAAAAATTTGTATTTCCATATTTGAGAAATACTGCAGGCGATCTAGTGACGGAGGACGATGAATGGAAAATTATGCAAACGTTGTATGAATATAAATCGATAGTGAAACAATTAGATATTTTCTATTTAGATAGACTAAAACGAGTGTTGGTGAAAGATCTTTGTTGCATTACAAGTGAAAACTAAAGGTTTAGGTATTACTAATCTGTAAGCTACATTAGAAGTTTTGACCTTTCTAGAATATGATAACAAATGTATTTAAAAACAGGAAAAGCTGGCAATCTCTTTAACTTGAGGGATTGTAATTGAAATATGCTTCTCCTGGTGATATATTGCTATATAAAACTCAAATAAAATTGTAGTAGTAACAAGTTTATAGTATTTCTTACGTACTGTAAATATTAATATTAATTAACGCTATGTTACTAAATACAGTATAACGTAGTTCTGTATATAAGTAGTTAATATGTTGTACTATAGCACTTATTGTACCCATTCGTAGTATTTAGCTATTAGTGCTAGTTAATACTAACGGTAAGCCTGAATATGAGCCATAGCTTTATTACTGCGAATTAGTCTAGGAAATTATATACTCAACGGCTCGTTAAGAGAATAAAGCATACAAGCCGATCGAAGGAGTACAGTATACGGAATCGTGTTTAATTGTGGATAGACTACATATCTACTGTATGTAAAGACCATTCCATTAATATTATGGGATAAAGTACGTAGTTTATCATTGATGTGATTTAAGGCCTGGTTTTTGCTGTGATCGTCACCATATACAGATAATGGTTATAGCTATTGCATTATAGTATTACGTTGGCTATTAAGGGAATGCTATGAATTACAAGATGTCTATTTTACTGTCTTTTAACAGTACTGTATTAGTTCACTTAATCGCTTAATTTATATGTTTAGGTATTTAACGCATGAATGTACTAAAAATAGCATTGTCCTAAAAGTATCTTTATTCAGTGGATTGTCAAAGAGAATAAATCGTCAAGAAATTTTACGCAATGCATTTGCCGTATACTGTATATTGCCAGCCAGTTACCGCTTTTAGTTGATGTTTGTTTTTGTTAACTGTTATTACTACTATTAATGTTGACTAGTTAAGAAATGCTACTATGGAATAAGATGGATTGCTAAGAAACAATTTACAGCTTCTTCTTACTGTGTTGCTGCTAAATACTGCAATATACCGTTGCGCACAAATGGCACAACGCTATTGACTGCATTCATGGTGGCTCCAGTAGCACATTAAGCAATCACGTTTAATTGATGCTATTGTAGTATGCTTAGCGATGCAAGTACAAGTGCATCGACAATTAAAATTGTAAATTAGAATGCTGTAGCTGCGTGTTTGCAGAGCTCAGCTGTGCATTCAATAAGTGTACAAGACTTTACTGTGTTTCGGATTATTTTGAGATAACTAGTAAAACAGTAGGAAATCAGGTTAATGAATAAACGTTTCTTGTAGTCAATATCTTGAAAAAAAAAAGGAAGCAGAGGCTTGTAGTATTGCGATGATTTTCACAGAGATCTCTAAAAAAAGTAAACCTGGTAAAAGCAAGAAATTTTCTGATATCATTTGGGCAGTGTCCTGTCTCTAAGGGTCTCTAGTGTAGTAATGAGTGTAAACTTTACTGTAAAGTACAGTCCAGACTACAGATTTTGCGGTATCGTAAAAGATGTTAAATGAGCACATTATCGTAAACCGTCAGTAAAGCGACGGGAGTTTGCACTAGTATATATATGAAATATGGTATAACATTAAGAAAATATGTTCATCCATTTTGTGATCAGAATATCTATCTACTATATCTGAAAAGAATACAGTTTATATAACACTGGTTATGTGTATCGCCAGTCAGGCGACTTTTCTTTAGCAAATGTAGCCGTTATTATCCCAAAATGACTACTTAGTATGGATCTTCCGCGTCTGTTTTCTAAATCACTGGTACTAATTTAAATAGCTTCCATGATCTTGTATAACTGTTTTTTAACCAGAATTTTGTAACAGATAATAAGATTCAATCTCTCAATCCTTAATTGAGAAAATATTGTCAATTCAAAATCGACCGACTGCATACTAAATTTAGTTCTGCCATAACCAAGTGTTTGGCCCAATATTTTAACGAGATGAGTCTGGAAATGTCTGTCCGTCCGAGAGTGATAGTACCGTAGCATACAGTACTCTACGGCAGTGTACAGTCCTGTACTGTACTGTACACGTACAGTACAGGGTTAGGGTTAAACCTGGCCTGGTACCGTATTGTACGTACTGTAAATGTCATACAGATTCCTACAAAAATAATAACAGTGTGTAGTAAATAAACTGACGAAAATTACTCATCGACTGTTATTAACTAAGTGCAGAGAGTACTGAGCTTAAATCTTTTGGATATCGGCATTCCAGATTGCACATACTACTACGAGCTTATCGCTAGGTAGCTACTACCTTTCGATCTGATTCTTTCCTCAATCCTAGATACATGTACAGTGGTACACTGGCGTAGGAATATTATACGATGACTTTGCATAAGCACAACACTGCTCGTCAATAATTATAATGAATGACGATGAGGAAGATGCTGGACAAGATTGCATTTGCACGATCTGCGATGCCTGTATTATAAGATGCTGTAGCAATTGCTATGAAGTAGTTTGCAGCTTTCTACGATCGATAGCAGCTCGATTAGGCTGCAAAACTGCCGTCAAGAATAATGCTCAACGTGACGAAGTCCATCATCGTCCTGTAAGAGACGTTGAAGTAGACGTTTAATGAGGGCGTCTTGCGCTCATGCTTGGAGAAAGGATACTATTACGATCGTCATTTTCAACTCCGTCGCTGCCTAAGGAATTACTGTAGGCACACTCGATTACACTAGATAGTTAACTCAATAGCTTGCACATTAATATACAACAGGTTAGAAATCCATTGTGACTTGTGAGGTATCTGATGAAAAATTACTCTATTTAACACCACTATCAGTACGTATGTTGTCATACTATTTTACATGATTATATTTCCATAGCATCAATAACAATAGCTAAAACAGTGTAATTAATTTAGGCTTCTAGTGGAAAGATATGATAGTATAGTTTGCATTTATTTCGCCCTATTTCAGGTTTCCGATACTATGACAATATATCCTGCAATCCTTAATTTTACATGCTAGTTAGTAACGAATACACGTATTATAGTCTGTCAGCTTAATTTACCTTACAGTTTTAAACAACGTACATTAGAGTTCTGTCAAATGCAAATTATTTTACATATGTGTGAAATAAGAAAGCAGTTCTGATTTTCTGGATGAGATAAAAAAATAGAGCGATTGAGGAAAATTTTGATTCTTAATAAATATTTTCGTTATCGTATTTCGCGGCGATACCACGTCTTCCTTCAACAACATTTATAGGAGAAGAATCATCGTCTGGAGTATCATCGAGTCCTTTCCAAGAGCGATTTGATAAGAATTCACCTGCCGATTAAAAATTGAATATTTCAAGAGATATCAAATAATAATGTACCGGTTGCATGTTGGTTGAAATAGAACTGGACAATAAATAATACATAAGTGGCACCAAATTCAGCCTCAACATACCTGCAGATGTATGATGTTGAATAACTTGCATGCGATCTCGAGTTACTAAGGATTGTTGCTTATCGTGATTGATATTCTCGTCATCATCTACGAAAATCATACTATATTTTACTATTTAAATGGTTTATTTAGCATAGCTATTGTTCAACAACAATAATTTACGATAAATCGATAAGCCTTTTTTATAATAATTGATATAGCAAATGACTACAATATCATAAAGAAATATAAAGTTATTAAAGTGCTTCAGTTAGTTGCTGTAAAGTAGTTCTCAGAAAACAAATTTATTTACCGCGTAGCGATGTATATTGCATATGTCCGGTTATAAAAGAATAATCTGGATTTCGATTCTTTCTTTCATCCTATAAAAATGATAGTATTTGTTATTATAGAAACATGTCATTTTGAGAAATAATAATTATTTCTGAAAAATTTGTCACTAGCATCTTACAAACAATACAAAGATAATCTTACAGTACAATGTAGGCACACGTCATGAATAAATGCAATGCCTAAATCTCTATATACGTATGTAGCAAGCATTATTATGAATTTTCGGCTATGTAATACAAATCTTAATCTTAATAGATATGTTACTACAGTTAGAGACTTAAATTATTTCAATATTTAATTACTAATAATGACTATCAAAAATCTGGTCTAAGTTTAAATATGCTTACATCCACATTGAATTCAAGATTAGATAATCCGCCTAGTAATACAACAAAAAAAACTTTCATTTATTTTTTGTTACTTTCAAGGAGCAATTACCTTCAGATAATCCTACGTTACCTGGTAATAATTGCCTAAAGTCTGTTATATAAGTACCGTCCCATTCTCTTTCCCTTAGAATATTTAAAATTTAAATAAAGTTAACAACTGAAATTATAAAATATATAATTGATTAACACCGACATATTGATAATCGATCGCCAAAAAGGGAAAAACGTAATTATGTTCAAATAAGATTTAATTATTTCTACTTTAAACAGGCGATTTCCAGTTCGTAAGGTGTAAGAATGGGCTTATAAAATTCCTAAGTAAAATTACAAGAGTAGCTATTGAGCGCAAGGATACAACAGGAAAAGGATATACTGTAGCAATAACAAATGGAATTCCTTACCTTAGAATCCAGCAGGGTATTTTCGGGGCAGGCTACTAATACAAAGACATCTATTTCCATGAAATTTGCTAATTTAGCAACATTAATTTTTCCCACCGAAAAGGTGTATGTCTATACAATTACAGTCATGAACACAACATTACGTATTGTATACGTAGAAGATTAATAGGATTATGCGCAGATAATAGCTTCAAATTAAAAAACTGTTCTAATATTGTACCTTCTTGTTAGCTGCTTTCAAAACTGCTTTTAGCCTGTCTAGCGTCTGCAAATAATCGGCTAAGGTGTTACCGGTAAAACATTAGTACAGCACGAAAATATTGATAAAATTTAAGGCGACTAATCGATTAATGTCCAGACCTACGCCTAACGTTCCAATAACTATTCCAACTACTAGGGCCTCTTTTGCTTTCTGAATTAAATAATATCTGCATGAGAAATAAGATCACTTTTTAATTAACTGAGAACATTATCATGCTGTAACGTTGCAATATTATCAAATATAATATATTTTGATGTTATGGTCACACCTTTTCATCAGGGCTTTGTTGACCGATAATGATTCTGATCTACTACTATCCAAATCAGGATTGTAAGAATAAAACTAATCGATAATAAGATAGATAAAGAGTAGTCATAATTTACTCGTGAAATGAAATATCAACAATGTCAGTAAACTGTTTACCCGACACTTATTGTATGACATCATAAGATTTGTTAGAGTCAACCCTTCAGAGCCAATATAGAATATAACATAATCATGTATCTCTTTTCCTTCATGTAAGTGAAAAATACGACCATACTCTTCTTGATCGCAGCTTTGATTTTCTTTATCTTCTAATAGTTTTGCTGAAGATTCAACAATTGCACTTAATTTTCCTACCTTTATTTCAGAAGCAATTAAATTTGGATATTGGGCATGTAATGTTTCATATACGGCATCTAAAATATCATATTATAACTCGATTAGTATTAGTTATCACAGATGTTGTGCATCTATTTATTAAAAGTACCAACAATCCAAATTACTCGCCTATTGTATGGTAATAGACGACATCATATAGAAGGATAGCGTAGCAGTTACGATCGCTTACAACGGCTGACAAACTCTCCTTGCATTTATTGGCATCAACAGGATGACGTCCAAACACGTATAAAACAGGCAACCTACGATTACTAAAAGAAGAATAATTTCATTTTTTTGGCATAATTCTTACTACTTTGCGAGCTAACTCTTTGTATCTTATTCTACGTATTCTATTCCATGTTGTTGCTATTTAAGAAAGTTCAATACGATGCTACTACAGTATTATCATGTAATGATCAATAGCATACTTACGGGCTCAAACAAGCAGAGCCAAAGTGTATTAAACAGTCAGCGTTACCATGGGATGCAGCAATTTCGTCTACACAACAACTATAGATATATAATATGAATTAAAACGTAAGTATATTGGCACCTACATTAAAAATTGTATCGTATGATGTATTGTGTATGTTTATGATGACGACCGAAGTAATCGTAATTTCACGAAAATAAGTACGTCCATTAGCCAAATAATTGAGTAATTACTCAATTATTTTATCCTGGCTTAGACAGTAAAGTATCATTACTTTAACGATTATAATAGATGATTGCTTGTTTGACCTGCCATAAGAAGTATCCGCCAAAATGAAGACATCTATAGATTGAGGAGATATAGTTTGTATTTCTAACGCAAGACTTGCTGAATCGGGTAGAAGGCTATCAGGAAACTGTAGAGCAATCTAATACAGTTGATTAAGTATACAGTAATATGCATTAAACCGATTTCAATGATGTCCGGCATTAGCCATGTTAGATTAGCATGTATTGATTACTACATCTCTGTCGGTGAAGTTGCTGTCCTATTTTCTTTCATATTGCCAAGAAAATACCGTACGAGTAAGCGTCATAACAAGACTGTATTTGCGTAGACTTGATGCATTTACAATACTGTCTACACATAATAATACTGGCATCAAAGTTTGATACTTTGTGAGCTATTTTGATATGCCAACTGGTATTGCTAAGTTAAATTTGATCTCAAATGCAACAACATAACTACATGCTAATCCATCAGTTGGAATTGTGCATGCATTGATTGCATTCATTGAAATAACGTACTTTCAAGGCTATAGAGTAGATTCTTACCCTTTTATACCCATGGCTCGTTATGAATTGTACAATTCGATCGAGGCTGTAGTATGATTGCAATTCATTTCGATCTTTCTGTGCATAACTATCTATTTGTAATCGTTGAGCAATAACTTCGCTACCATCATTACTGAGATTATATTTATCCAGCTGTGGAGTTGCCATAACAATTTACTAATCACGAGAGGACCTGATCGAAATGGGATATATGGCCAAGCTCAACCATAGTGGTAAATCCAATCGATTAGTAATATATACGATACCGTATAGATACAATACTGCAGTTTGCGTACCTCAAATCGTCAACATGCTGCAGCCAATCAATATTGGGCACGATGATACAGTACTAAAGCGTACTCTGCAGAAGTGCTACTGCATCGTATAATAATTACAGGCTAACATCGCAAACATGTCATAAATTGCATACTGTACAGTATTCAGTCGTTGACTTTAATCAATAGGAAGCACGATGACAGGTGCTCGCCTGATTGAAAGGTTCTGCCAGTAGTCAAGTTGATCAACAAGCAGCTAGCTCGTCATCAGCTGCAGTATTCCTATCATGATGATGGCTATCGAGATAGATTAGTACCCTAGTCAATGCAATATTGCATATTATTTCGTCATGTCTACTATGAAAAGCAATGATAATCATCCTTATCCAATGTATGACGCTTATAATGATGGGCCGCAACCACAAGGTTATGTTTTTCCTCCAAGGCGACCAGCCTCGCAGCCAGGTGGTGCAGTGAGCAATCCACCATTCTCCACTAGACCTCGTTCTCGCTGCTTTCAAGGTCGTACTCGTATGCCTTATCATCCTTCTTCATCGTCAGGTATGCCAGACTATGCACCATCCAACTATCAAAACACCTCTCCACATGGGCAATATTTGCCACCTCGAGCTACACCACCGTTGGATATGGAAGGGAATGCATTACCTAGCAACGTGCACCCTTCACCCTATCCGCAACATTATTTCCATCATGATGAATATTCTCACAGTGGTAAAGCCTATCCTGAACGTAGATATAGAGGCAACTTCTCACGTCCATTTACAGTAAGTAAAATTGTTTCCAAAAATAGCTCTGTATGAATAGCGATAAACACTTCGTAAGATGAAAATTGGTAGCTTCTTCTGAAATGGTCTTAATCCATTAATACTGTAATAATTAAATAACTCTACTTATCTTGCAACCTTGACATCGATATAATATCTGATTATTAATTATGCATACAGTATATAGGTAGTTGTTCGTTCGTAAATAACTGCAAGCATACGGTAGTTAAAATTTGCATTTATTGGAGCATTCTCGTAAACTGTGTAAAAGCTATTACATCGATGCACGGTAAAATAGGCTAGACATAGATTTCGCTCGATCGTCAGTTAGTTTTAAGATTAGTAGTGTGATAGTGATATTCTACATAGACTACGAGCTAATGTTGTGAATGAAATCTTACATGAAGAGAGGTGGACAAAATTCAAGCCGAAATTATAATTCAAAACAGCCTATTAAAAGGAAGAGATCAGAAAACGAAGAGACCAGAGATAAAAATGATTATTCTTTTAGTGTAAGTTTCAGCAATAAAGAGTTAAAGTCTTACAATATTGCGATGGTATTATCATTTAAGGTCTAAAATATCCAAATGCTCTCATCGGTCTAGGGGGAAGAAAAAGTTTCTAAAGCTAGCCATATCAAGGTTAGCTCAATTCATCATGTTGAAGCTGTCTCTATCTATAATTCATTTATATTTGTATATAGACCAATTAGGTGATATTAATACTATATAAAATCTAGGCTTCATTTACTTCACGATTTAACGTAAAACTTGATTCTCCTGAAGATATTAAAGCATGGCGTGAACAAAGAAGAAAGTTAGTTATGATACTAATATACATGTACAGCATATTCATTTTACTCTATTAAATGCATTATTGGCCAGGAATAGTCGAGAAAGTGACAAGTAGAGCATAATATAACTAATCATGTGTTTTAAATTTTGAAAGGAATTACCCAACAGCTGCTAACGTTGAGAAAAAGAAGCAAGAAGCTCTAGACAGAATTGAACGCGGTGAAATCATACCAGAAAAATCGAAAAGGTTTAGCTTAATTAAGACTCTGTGCAATTTTGATTAATTTACTAATTGTCTTGGATATATTTTAGATACTTAGGTCGAAGTAAACATCATAAAGGAAGAGGACAAAGGGGTAGAGGATATAAATTTCAAAATAGAAATAATAGAAGAAGAGACAATTTCTCTGATGGACGGAAAAGGCAAAATAAAGGAATCAATCAAAGCGGCTTAGATTCAACCTTCAAGGGCGACCCCTTATCGATGTTAGCTGATGAATGTGGTAGTAACAATTCTGATGGTAAATTTACTTGGCAATGCCTTAAAAAGTTAAGATATTTACAACTTAAATTTTGAATTAATTTAAGTTGAACAAACCTTTTACTTAGATGAATCGTCACGTGAAAGACCTGTTGGTCCCGACACAAATACTAAATCTGCCCCTCCGGTTCAATTATCGTCTGGTCTTACAACGTTGATGACTTCGTATAACAGCGAAGATAGTTCTGAGAATGATGAGAGTTCTATTAGTAAGTTATAAAGTCAATTTATAATTACTTGGATATTTATTATTTCTAGCCTTGCTCTAGAAATGACATACATAATAGATCGCACCACTATGGGCTGTGTACCTAACGTATGCATGTAGGAATATGTTGTTTCTTTTTGCATTAAATTATTTAAGTGTCGTTCGTATCTGCTCCAATAGACAAATTCTCAACGGTTCTAAATGCTGACCTAAAAGCCCGTAGCGGTAATACTGACGAAATTAAGCGTGCTAAAGAAATTGTCAATAATTCAAAGCAAGAACGGCGATCAAATAATCGTCCCGAGGTAATTTTTTTATCATTTAAACCTAAAATTATTGGCTGAAGAATCAAGTAAGATGAGTATATTTTTATTCATTTATTATAGTGGATGAAAGCAGCAGTAAATTCTAAACTAAAGAATTTTAGGAAGCCAAGCCTTCTTGAAAAAGTAACATTTTTTTTATTGTATTCGATCCATTCATTTTATACAATTACTTGATACTGACTTGCTTAATATCTGTGTTATTATTCGTAGTTACTAGCGCCAGAGATTCAGCGTGAAAGAAATATCATAATGCAGTGTGTACGATATATTGTCAAGAACAATTTCTTTGATCCCGTAAAAGACACCGATGCAAATAACCATTAAATTAAGGTAATTTAATGACTCTGAAAAGATGCTATCATCACTTCCTTTTCCCTAATTAGGAGAAAAAAATTTACGTTATCTATCTACGATAATTATATAAGATACCCCTATTTTGGGATTCAAGTATTATAAATTGAATTAAACAATATTATAGATAAATCGTGATAGCCCTGGAAAATAATCAAAATCTGTTATATGAGATTATCACGATATTATTTTTAACTGATTTGCCGAGCACTTTATTTTAGTACTTGTATAATAATTATGAATTTTTCATCTTTAAAGATTCAAGAATTGTATAAATCACATGCACGTTCTTCTTCAAGTAAAATGCCTGTATATTTACGACACTGGACTTGTGAATAAAATTGATTTATCCTGTGCTTGCTAAATCTTATTCACTCAATTTAATGCTAATATTATACGATGTGTTCCGTTAACAGCAAGCACACACATCATATACGTTCTACAACTTGCAAATCAACCAAAATGCAGTGCCTGAGCCATCTAATACTAGTACACTTATAAAGTCAGTAACAGCACAACCAGGAGAAGCTTGTTGTAATATAATGGAATGGCTATTAATAGTAAATAATGAAGAAATTTTCCGGATTTCGTATTATACGTCTGAAATTTAGTTCGAGGAACAGTGTCGACGCCAGTGATACTCTGTATTCAGGGATTACTAGAAAATCTATTAATATTTCTAGTGTTTCTATTGAGTATCTGCCTTTAGAAATCCTGTATAGTACATTTATAGGGAGTTCTGTTGTGATGACTTTCATTCTTAATATCTGCCCAACTGTTATTAAAATCGGCATTTTTGGTCATATTGCGCGATGAATGAAATAGATAGGATAGGTCTTAATATACTAAAAAAAATAGCTGTAGCTCGAATAACACTTTTGCAGTCAAATTAACTATTGACATTAATATACAGTAGAGTTATGCTAAGTATTATAGGTCAATATATATATCTGTATTGACTTATGTACATATATATATGTGTATAAGTCGATATCATGACTATGACTTTACAGTACAGCAGCTATTATCCCAATTCCAACTTGCATCATTTGATTCGCCTTCTGGCATTACAAATGATGGCATAAAATAAATGCTGCTTTCCTAACAATAGTTCGGCCATTAGCCAATTTCTATCCGCTTGTTATAGTTTTGTACCCTATGATTTGTACGATATCTTACATAGACTACTTGAGTGATATTAAATCTTTTGTCATAGCCAAATGAATGAAAATTAAATCATCGGATGATTCCTATCCTGAAACAACATTTATAGTTCAAACAACACTTTTTATCAGCCAAGTTAAGCATTGATATCAATGTGGGATGATACTAGATGTTATAGCGAATATCTTGAACATGATTTTGGAGCAGTTACTTTTATAAATTCAATTTCCTATCGTTCAATTCGCCTTTGGCTCTATCAATACAAGTAGAAAACAAATGCTGCCCAAACCGATGAAAATTGGCCTATTTCGATCCGCTTGTGTTTTTGTATGTAAACTAGGTGCTGTACGGTAACAGCAGTACGCATGCACCAACGATTTGTAGACCTCTGGTGTGATCCAAGACTGCACATCGCTGTATCATACGGAAGCCTAATCATACTGCTATTGTACCATACACTATAGTATCCCATGGCTACCGTTAGCACTACAGTACAATTTACAGTACAATACTGTACAGTTTACAGTGCGTAGTACTGTAATATACAGTACAGTTCTCTAGAGCCGTAGTTGCCATCACACATTGCCTAGCTGAGAGCTTTCCAAGGACATCAAGATGGCGAGTTCTATTGAAGCTGCCGTTGATAGTGTTAGCTTGAGCGCTTACAGAGATCAACAGTTTAAGGTTAGTAATGATTAAAATACATTAGAAATCTGTTGAGAATTGGCCAAGGTATTGCTAGGATAGATTTATTTAATCCTTCCTTGTACTAATTTAAAAATCGCTGTGAAGCATACTGCGTTGATCAGTAAGCCGTCGCAGAGTTCATCATTGTACTATGGCCACCAATCTTACATAGCGAAAGCTTAACAGTATTATAATCGCATCGATGCTAATATTGTCTATATTATCTTACTAATAATTTAAGCGTACAGTACCTTACTACTTTATAATAGTAATTGTCTACTAAAGATTGCAAATCCGTAACTTTGCCCGTACCTATTGCATGCTATCTTGGCTTTACGTAGAGTACGTACTCTACCTTAGACTTGTACCACGCTACTAGAAGCTACCGAAAGCGTGTTGAAACGTTTTGTGATTACAGTCTAATTAATTTACCAGTAATATACTACGTGCATCGATGTGATCAACAGATTGATAAATTGTACTTGGTATATTCTACAGCTATCGTGATATAAAATTTTGCAATGATACGTAAATGGTAGTATACGAGCTATAAAAGAAATTTCTTATTTTAGGGCACCGTAACTGAACAAGAATCCAAATTAAAATTGACATGTACAATGTACGTTGGCAATTTATCCTTCTACACTACTGAATCTCAATTATATGAAGTGTTTTCTAAAGTTGGTGATGTGAAGAGAATTGTAATGGGACTTGATCGCTTCAAAAAGACGCCATGTGGTTTTTGTTTTGTTGAATATCCTTTAACTTGATTACGAACAAAATGCAGTATATCTACATCTGTACAACTATATCTGATCATCTTGAATAGATCCTACATATTATGTTACATTTTAAAACGTTGTCAGAACTTCTGTATGAAATCATAATATTTTCTTAACCTTAAGCTTACATATGACACCAGAGAAGAAGCTGAGATGTGTATGAGATACATAAATGGTACTAAAATTGATGATAGGATTATTAGAACCGATTGGGACGCAGGATTTATAGAAGGTCGACAGTATGGACGTGGAAGAAGTGGTGGACAGGTAACTATGAACACATTTGATATCATTTCCTTAGTTGCCTCTATAGGCATAATGTTATGTACGAGAAAGCTCGGGAAGTGATGGATTCAGTAATAATAGTAGTATTTGATATATATATTTTAGCTAATTAACTTTCAATACAGTACTGAAGAAGCTTAGAAGAATTCGATATTATAAACTTTTCAATATTAAAGATACTTATTTACGGTACTTATGATCAAAAATTTTTTAATTTTATATTTAGGTTCGTGATGAATGTCGGCAAGATTTTGATGCAAATCGCGGTGGTTTTGGACAACTCTTGGCCAAAGGTGGATTTAGCGAAACATCTTCGTTGCATCATTAGGGATAATCCATGTTAACCTTGCCCAACTACTATATCACAGCATTTGAATAGCAAGAAATTCTATGCAATCTGGTTTATAAACAATGTAATATTCTGACGGCCGAAATAGAATTGATACCTATATCGTTAACGATTTTTTGTTTCTAATATCATAATGGATTACACTTACTAGTCAGTAATGATCTAGTAATGTTATCTACATGATGACGATGTGTGGCACACGTTAAGTAACAATATGCAAAAGTGCCATGTCCTTGTATTTAATAATTTTTATTATTAACTGATGTATCTATGCTGTACCAGTCTTGATGCCAATTTCTAAAACAAGAGTGCACTCGCATAATAGTGCACAATTATGATAAAAGATAGTAGCTACATCGCTGATGTACACTTCGACAGTAGCTTTAAATAGTTATTTTTTATTCATTTTTGTCACAAATCTCTGTACAAATTATTGCCGAATAGCCCTGAAGCCCTATCACGTCTATCGAGAGTTAGTATATTTATTAATGAGTATTATACAGTCATTTTCAATGTAATCGTATTAACAGGTTATTGCATCGCTTGCAATTAAAAGTGCGGTGAGCTCTGTTTTTTGTCGTTTCGTTAGTATCCGTAGTCCTGAGCAATTGTTTTACTGTTTGAATAGTATTTCATGATTTGGAATGATTATCTTTAAAAAATATCAATTGCCTTGGATTTTGATGGCGTTCTTTCTAATAATATTCCACCATCTCGTGAACTTCTCCTATAGTTTTTCTTTAACGACGACTTTGCCACGGTGGTATTTGTAGAGTTATTCTTAGGAGTATTTCTTTCACCCTAAATAATGTTAATGAATAATCAAATAAAGTTAAACATTAACTTACGTATCAAACTATTACAATCTTCAACTGCATCATCAACCTAACTTGCAACTCAATTTTTCACTATTTACCTTCAGCAATTCGGAGTATTTATTGGTTACATCGTCAATTTGCTTGTTGAGTAAATGTATTTTAGTGTTCAGTTGATCAATCTTTGCTTCAAGTTTTTCCCTTTTACTACGTTCATAATTTAACTGAGCTTCTAACTCCGTTATTGTCCTATATTGACATATTGCATATGAAAATCTCATTAGAACCCAGTTTTACCCATAGATATTATGGATAGGTTGCAATTGATTGATTTTTCTCTTTTCAATACAACCTTTCGTATTCGGCTTGTTTATCCATAGTTTCAATATCTTCATCCAACAGTCCACCTAGCTGATGATAATTTGCTTTAGCTATCTTGAGTAACCTTTTTAATTCTTCTATGCGATGACTAGCTCGCCCTTAGGATATAGACAATACATTTCCATTCGTTAACATTTTACGTTAATACAACTTTGTAAATCTCTGATGTCACATTGTGTAAATTACAGTTAAGGACCAGGAAAACCCTTGCTACGATGTAATCTATGAATGCTATCCATACCTTGGGCTTCAATCTTTTCATCATCATTCAATTCCATAGCATCATCTAGATTCTCATCTTCAATAATTTCATCAGCTTATGAATCATGATGAAAATTAAAGATAATGGTATTCGATTAAGCTTTGTGTTAAAAAGTGGCAATACTATATCTCTAAGCTCATAACGACGTGGTAAAAGGTTTTAAAATGTATAAACTAAGACTAATGTCTTTTAAACACTTCTAGCTTACCGACTTCTCCGCCTAATAGCTCCACTGCTCCCATTTGTGCATAACGTTTTGCAACGTCTTTTGGAGTTTCACCTGCTTCATTTCTAATTGTGACATCACATCCTTGTTCCATGAGCCATCTTAAAATATTTATGTGGCCATTACCGGCGGCTGTAGTCAGATAATGCAAGAATTTTATGTCATTTATAAAGTTGATATTTTGATACAGTAATAATCGTTAGACGATAATTTTACCTTTATGAGCTAAGGTTGAACCATGATTATCTTGTTCATCAACAGATACAACTCCTTCTTCGATTAAAGTTTGTAACTTTTCCAAATTACCGTAAAAGGCTGCGGCATGAGCAGGAAAAGCAATGCCTATTATAGAATACAATTATATATTCAAAATTCAAAATGAATTCATCATTTCTGACTACGATGTACAATATACTTACTGTCATCGTAGAGCTTGGGGTTTTCAATATCGTGTTCTTATTAATCCACATCAAGTTATAAATATATTTTAAAATGAGGATAGGAGCTTAAATTGCGTACTACTTCAATTGAAAGTTATTTACAAACAAAAATTTAAAATTACATTTACAATTAGGAATATTACTCTTACCTACAGCATTCAAATACTCTACACAGCGATCTTTATAAAAGCGCAAAGCAATGTCTTTAGGAGCATCACCCTACATTGCATGTAAGAAATATGAACAAATTTGAATACGGTATACAATATCTGTTGAGCTTGAAAAGAAATTTTCTTTTCCTTATTAGCAATGGAAGTCAATTATCGCGGGTATGAATTGTTTGTAGAATTACTGCGTTTAGAGGCTAAATTATATTAAGTTAATTTCATCTTTACTTGATTGTTTCTGCTATTAACAATGAAGTCAATGCTTGCACTTTTACATATAATAAATTTTAAGCATTCCAAGTGGCCCTCTTTTGCTGCAAGATGAGCTAGATTTTTTAACAAAATGAAATAAAGTTGTAAAAGATACATCGTTGACCGAAAAAGATTTTATGAGTAGTTAGCGTATATGGCACTGTTATGTTCATCTCTGAAAATTTTATCACACAATCACCATAACGAAATTGTATTGAGGATGACGCTTGCTTATAATACGTATATTTGTAAGTTTAGAACCTGCAGTATTTCCTTGATCATCAATTTCATTAAAATTAGCACCCCATTTACGAAGTACCTACAGAGTAAATTATAATTTTGATATCCTAGCCGTTAAGGACTATTGTGAAAGTTTAACATTATTTTAATATTTTGCTACCAACAAATTATGGTACATAGTCATTTTTAAAATTTACCTGCAAGCAACCAAGCCTTCCGAAGAATGCTGCACAGTGAGCAGGTTTCCAACTCTCATTATCTCGCGCATGTGTATCCTATGATGATATCAAGAGAGTTACTATTTATTCTTTAGACTCGCTTAGCAAGAATGATTTGAATTTTTTGAAATCTCATCATTTCTAAAAAGGACTAACCCCACCGTATCGCAGTATAGTTTGCAAGGTATGAGCATTACCATGAATGGAGGCTAGATGCGCTGGAGTGTTACCTATTGAATTTTAAAGACAACAAAAGGTAGACTGAGGATATCATTGCAAAGGGCATCAATGACAACAGCTCTCTAACATTATTAATATAAAAACTTCAATATTGCAAATAATTTACCTTTTAAATCCTTATTATTAATACTAGCTCCATTGTTACATAAGGCCTGGTAATAAGAACAAGTAAGGACATCACTATAGTATTTCATATCTACTCAGTTAATTGATAAAATAATTCATAGTGGTTTATGTCTTTATATATTGCAATCTAATACCTCCAAGCATGTGCTTCTCCCTTTAATTGCAGCTAAGTGTGCAGCTGTCCATCCTTGTGGTGTTTTATCATTTGCATCAGCTCCATGCCATAACAACCAGTGCAGACACTGTGAGACGTAGTGAATAATTCAACATTTAGTAAAAATTTATTTTCAACTATTTAAAAAATCCGTTCCATCCTTCCAAGATGGTAATATTAAAATTGTCATAACTGTATCATGATGTTGCAAAACTACATGATGACTGGCACCTCTAATTAATTAGTTAATTTTACCTCAAGTGCTCCACGAATGACGACTCGTTGGATAATGGTTAATTTCTCCGCCCCAATCGGCTGCCTGATGCTAACACCATAGTCTCGTATTGCTGATTCCATTTGTTCGATATTATGGTTATCAATAGCTTCCAATAACATAGCAATAGGTTTTTTAGCTGCCATATTCTGTTCACAGTAGTTGTGTAATTATCCTAAAAATCCAATGCGAATGGGCTGAATTTAAGTTATGAAAAACAGGTAGCGACTTTATCGTCATTGCGATGAGAATATTATAGAGTCATCCAATTTTAAATTTTATGACACGATTTGCATACTATCAAGAGCGATATCTCGACTTGTACCACTTACTTAAGTTACAAAAAAATTCAATGGCCAAGAATATAGTAATAAGGTAGGGTTTTATGCTTTTCTCTTGCAATAATTGAGACTTTGGCACTGTTAATTTAAGACTCGTCTATAAATGAGTAAAGATTCACTTTTGTTAATAAAATAATTAGGTACAATAAATTGAGTATCGAACGTCAAGATGTAAAAAATGTTGAATCAATTTAGAGCTGATTTGCGTTTATGATGTAGTATATAAAATTTATTTTATTTATAATTTACTCTACGCTCGTATGTTACAATATGTCAATATTACAATCGAGCGAGATGCACCCTACAATGTTTATAATCTAAGTATTCGACAGTATTTGTATGGATTGGCGATATATCATGTAATCAAGATGTTTAATATCATTTCCCATTCAAAAAGCAATACTGGATGATATTTTGATTGTTGATGGCTACGTTACAGCTTTGTGTTGACTACGTTACCTACTGCTGTCATAGCCCGATAGATGGTTTGTTATTTTAATGGCGGAATAGTCATAATTAATCAAGCTATCCTTTGATGATAGCTCTTGGTACATACCGCATATCAGAGTTTGTAAAATGCTGCAATGTGTCAAGTTTATAACCCACTAATTTCCATGATAAGTCTAGGCGATGATAACGCAAGCATCAATCAAGAAGAAATTTATTTTTCTGTATTATAATATGACTTATCTCCGGAATAGTATACTGTATCAGTTTATTGCTATACTGCCATAGTATACAGTACACTAGTATGCTATGTTCTACACAAGATGGACTAGCAATTCTACCATGTCTAATTGTCCATCGCTATAATCTCTACTGTATAAAGAGGCGAAGGGTTTGCAATCGGTTTGACTAATTGGAATTTGTTACCATAGTTACGCCGGCGACTACTGTGCTGTATTCCAGGAGAGAGGGACACAGTACCGTACTTACAGTACAGTACAGTACTGTACTGTAGATCAGTTACTACTGCCGTAATACGTGGTGTACAGTACTGCATACAGTAGTGTCTATTGGAGTATAATAATGATATCTTTCTTTGAATAGCACAACGAAGAGAGAGAAAGACGTGTTCTACGTTATTTGCTCTTGCACTAGTGGATAGCGAAATTGATCGCTTGGAAAATGTCCTCCAAGCAAGCTGGCTTGCATCGTTGGACAGTACAGAGTACTGTAGTGTACAGTATACAGTACTGTAAGACTGCAGTCGTCCATGCAACGGGTGAATTGACTTGTCGGCTGAGCTGTCTCGACAAGGGCCCCAATCACGGCGTACCATACAGTACACTACGTCACTATTGGCGTAGTCACCCGTTGCTGTAGTGGTGATACTTGAAAGCATTCTGTCAGTACTAGACACAGTATGGCCTAGGTGCGAGAAATGGACACTGACTCACTTTTGATCGATGGTTTGACATAGTGACGCGATCCACATACAGAATGACCTAGTGACCCACCCACCAATCAGCTTTCTCCGTGTTTGAGTAAGCCCCACGTCAGCGATGTAGCGTCAGTGGAGAGTGGGAACGTGCCAAGAGTGAGTGAGTCGCAGATTTGAGTGACCCTCTACCCCACCCCACCCTACGTCGGGCGTGTAGCGTCATCGAGAGTGTGAGTGAGTCAGAGTGAGTGACTCAAGGATTAATTAATTAATTAATTAATTAATTGCAAGTGTCGAATGGCTGGAGGACAGCTGGATCAACTCCACTTTTAAATCTACTCCTATGAACTTGGACGAAAGATAATCCATTTCTTGTTGCCTTTTTGATTGGATAAAGTAGCCTAGTGTATCAACGAATCAATCATTAAAATAGTAATCTATTCAATTCATTAATATCCATCTTGATACTGCTATTATTATTGGATCAACGACAAAGACCCAGCGTAGAAAACGATTCAAGAACTGTCATTGGTGTCGTCGACGATCTTGATATTTTAGTGAATGTTGGTGGTTTAGCTTAGTCACAGACTGATTGAATCATGTTCAAAGCAGGTTATACTGCATATTTAGGGCAAAATTATACCGAATTAAAGAAAAAAGCCAAAGAAAGTGGTAAACCTTTTGCTGATGCTGAATTTCCTGCTGATCGAAGTAGTTTATTCGTGTCCAAAGATAAACAAGTATCAGGACCATTGGAATGGAAACGACCTACGGTAAGGATCAACATGCAAGCAAATAAATCCACCCATCATCATCCATCATCCACTGACTGGAGTCGTTACTTTTATCTGTATTCATTCTTTGATATTGTAACTATTTCTAGGTTGATAAGTAAGACAGCTCGAAATAGATATTGCAATCTGTTCATTGCAACATATTTTAAGGAGTGGTTGTTGTTATTTCCTTCGACTGTATTTGCACTATCCTTAAATTGGCATCAAACAACTTGACACGCTTTGTTGTTATACGTATACGCATTACTTTTTGCTAGGATAGAAAGTTCCCTTTATCGACGGCATAATCGACGTGTCATAAAATATAGATAGAACAAGGAGTTAATGTAATTTAATAATTAATGAATTGTCGCCCTGCCCAATATAAATGGATAAAAATGATGATACTCTTTTAGACAACGTATTCATCGATCATCAAGTCAACTTACAATACATCGTAGGCATCGTCAATTGATGTAGAAAAAACTTTTACCTATTAATACCTGAACAAGCAGTTAATGTAATTTAATAATAAATTAATTGTCGTCCTACTCCATAGACGCGTAAATGGATAAAATGATACTCTTTTTTTAGAGAACGTATTCATCGATCACCAAGTCAAATTACAATACATCGTAGGCATCGTCAATGGGTGTAGAAAAACTTTTCTTTTTTACTTGTGAATACCTTTACTTTAATAGATGCTTGTATTTTTGATGGCATTATACAATTGGCGATAATAGGTACTTGTACCAATAGTTTCAAGATACAAAAAATCATCAATTGATCAAAAGTTGTATCTAGTTTTCAACTTCCTGTTTACTCGGTAGCATATTTCATTTCTCATCACTTTTTGTACGGAGATGATGATTCATCTTGATCACAATCTACGTAATTGTACAGTAGTAAAGCGATTGGATCCTTTTTACTAGCACGTATTCAAGACTAGACTTGCAATTTCCTACTCTACTTATCAACAATTTCACTTTGTAATGATCATACGCGTACATAATAACAACTGGGAATAATATTAATTATTATCAAAAAGAAAAGTGATCGATGACCGATAATGACCAGTTAGTGGTAATGTAGGTACCCTATCACGTATTTTATGATTATCAGTTAGGTAATGAAATGACAAAATAGTAACCAAACGCTAAAACGGCTTTTATTGTTTATTTAATATATTATTTAATCCGGATACCATGCATACTCAGAGACGACACAACGGAGTCTAATTTTCTATCCGATTTACAGTCACAGTCAACTTCATCTATCTACTGTACTTTTTTTACAATGTTAATGTATCAAAGTAAATCATGAATGTTAATAATAGAAATGTTAGATTGGTGTATGATGATGCAGTATGACTGTTTGAGTATTCAAGAAGAAACTAGGATAACCAACTTGTATCACCTATACTCTACTGTCTTATCATGAACGATTGTGGCTGAAAAAGGGTCTGATATTGAATTTCAGCTTGACTTCCAAATAAATATTGAGCTTTTTTAATAGATTAAATAGCGGTCTGTATGCCTTAGGCATAGGTAGACAAAAGTAACTAATCCTGAATAGGAATTTTTATTTCACTATCAATCTTATTAATACTGCTCTTAACCTCTATAGACTAAATAAGGTTAACATAATCTTCGAATCAAATCTCAAGTAATTTGACACTTTGCAACGTCAATGCTATATCTTATAGCTTCTTACTCCTTGAACACTGTAGATTGATTCTTCTTAGTGCTATCGTCAATTTTCTACAATATGACTCCAGCATACCGGTAAATGAAGGTGTACATGGCTACACTCTAATTTTAATCGCTTTTAGCAGACCATGACAGGAAAAAAAAATATTAATAAGACAATTTTATGAAAAAAGAGTAAACCTTTCAACAGAAATGCTGCTATTTTACCGTCATTTTCTATGCCTTATTTGACACCATCCTGTATTACTTACTGATAGTATAATAATAATGTATGCATTAAATAATTATTTCGCTTAATATGTTATATTTCATGTCATGAATGATAGGAGATTACCGATAATCCAAAATTTTTTGTCGATGGTACCAGCCCTAGCGATGTAACCCAAGGCCATCTGGGTAATTGCTGGTTTGTGGCAGCATGTGCTTCGCTCTCGCAAGAGAAATCACTCGTGAATAAAGTAATTCGATATGTTGGATTTATAGTATACCTAAATCTTTCCATTAGTAATAGTTCCTATTCACCGTACATACAGTACTTGTATAATACTGTATAATTGATGAATATAAATAATTATTTTATTTTGTCTATTAATTCACTAGGTGATTCCTAACGTAGGTGAACAAGATTACGACACCAGCGATGGAGAACACAGTGGGATCGTCCATTTTCGTTTCTGGCGTTTCGGTGAATGGGTAGACGTTGTTATAGATGACCGTTTACCAATGGTAGATGGAAAACTTATTTACGTGCATTCCAAGCAGAAAAATGAATTTTGGAGCGCATTGCTAGAGAAAGCTTATGCAAAGTATGTTCCCTGTTACATAGCTTACGTAACTTATGGAAATTAGTCATCAACGTTAATTACTGTTATGTATATTCAAAAACCAATTACTAATTATATAATGTGATCTCCCTTTAAAAACTGGTTCTATAGACCCAGCTTCAGTATAAAATTGGATACTTAATTGCTTGTATTCTTTGTTATAATCTTATTACGTGCATCTATCTTAGGCTCGCAGGCTCCTATGAATCATTAGAAGCCGGTAACACTGCCGATGCTCTCGTTGACTTTACTGGTGGTATTGCGGAGACAATAAAAATGGATGGGGAAGATTACTCGGATGATAATAACCGCGATCAATTGTTTAAATTAATGGATAAATCTATGGATCGTCATGCGCTTATATGTTGCTCTATTAGGGTAAGTTTTTACACACCGAAATGGCGTAAGCTGCAGCTTAAAAATATAATCGGTAATCTTTGTAGGACACGTTATAGACAGTGTTACATAATCCTCCTAGATAAATAGCTTGATTTTTAATTTAAGACTCTAAATTATCATATTTCATATCTTAATAAATGCTAAGACGGCTGATCAAACGAAAAGAGAAGAAAGGACTGACATGGGTTTGATACTGTTACATGCTTATGGTGTGACAAAAGTCACAAATGTAGGTTTAAAGTCAAAATTTGAACTTCTGCTATAACAATCTGCTCTATCATTTGAATTTATTACTATCTCATGCCTTAATGATTTTATCTTTAATACATCCGACGTACGTGATATGATCTTAAATTTTTAAAACAGATAAATATTTTTGAAGTTCTTTAATGGATTAATATAATATGACATTTTATATTTTATTTTTATTCTTAGTTTAAATTAGGAGAAGGCTTGCGATCCTTTTTTCGATCTGAAAAGGTTCCTATGGTTCGCATGAGAAATCCATGGGGCAAAGGTGAATGGAAAGGTGCCTGGAGCGATGGGTATGTCTGCATAAAGTGATAATATTCTGCTACAAGTTATAATGAAATTCTATCATTTGCTTTTCCATCACATTTAAAACTCTACATGCAATAAGTAATAATTAATTAATCATAATGTATTAGTTCTGAAGAGTGGAACAGGGTCAAGAAATCTGAACGAGAAAAGGTTGGATTAACATTTGAGGAGGATGGAGAATTTTGGTAAGCATAAATATCTCTGATTTGGCTATGTAACTGCACGGATGCTTTCGTGATTATTCATAAATGTAGCCTTATCTTGATTTAAGAAAAAAAGTCTGATTTTATCCGTAAATTACTTGTTGAAAGTTGACAAAGTAAAATTGTGTACCATAGTATGTAAAAAGATTTAATTAAAATTTGTATTCTCCTTTCCAGGATGTCCTTTGAAGATTTTACGAAATACTACACCCATGTAACAATTTGTCGCGTTATCAACACTTCTTTTATGACTATTCATAAAATTTGGAAAGAATCCACTTTCCACGGATGTTGGTCCACGTCTGCCAATAGAGCGGGTGGTTGTATTAATAATCGGGCAACGTTTTTACAAAATCCACAGGTAAGATAGGACACTAAATTTCTATGATGCCATTTCTATGTTGATAGTAGAAATCACTGAAAAAGGTTAATAACAGCTATATTATATTGCCCACAGTACGCTTTCGATGTTACTGACGGAGAATACGGCACAACTGTGATAGCATTGATGCAGAAAGATAAACGATTAGAGAAACGCTCAGGTCATGGCGAAAATCTAAGTATAGGCTATTATATTATGAAGGTATGGACTAAACTACTTAGGCCTCATCTTACGAATAATGCAATAATATACAGTTATGTTGCTAAGTCAGACTTATGATAATGAATTTCCTACTATAGGTTGCAGTAAATCGAAATTATCGACTACATACAGTAAATCCCAAAGCTGCTGATGTAACTTACAGCAATTCGAGAGAAGTTACTGGACGATTTGAACTGGAAGCAGGTAGATACGTTATTATTCCCAGCACCTTTCAGCCAGGAGAAGATGGTGAATTTTTGTTGCGGATGTATACGGAAAATAGTGCTGGCGCAAAGTTAGTTAAACATTTTAGATGATTAGATCTTTCTAAATTTTAGTGAATTTACGTATTACTTTGGTGACCATAATTTGGAATTTTTGCTTTACGTAGAGAGCTAGTAAAGAGTTCTCCTACTGGCGGCGGTTTTTGTGGTTGTTTCAGCAAATCACCGGTAGCAATCGTTCAAATTGATGCTATTGCAGCAAAGGATTTGAGTAAAAAAAATCGTAGCGGCGTTGGTTAGTCTTTCTCCTAAAGATAATTGCTTAATGAGCAAGTCGATCATCTCCCACTCTTTATTTTACATGGTATAATTGTATTTTATAGGTGCTAGTCCGTATTGCATTATTAAATGTGGCAAAGAGTCAGTCAGAACTCCAGTTATCAAAGAAACTTTGAATCCAAAATTTGATGCTTCGGCCATTTTTTATTTGCGTAATCCTAATTCTGCCAAAGCTGTAATCGAGGTATGGTTTATATCAGTTTGTAGTAAATGATTTGCACCTTACCAAAGACGCGGGTATAGATGTAGATCGATAAAATCAGCTTGTTGCTTAAAATAAATTGTTACTCTCTGATAATAATCTAAGATACAATGGCTATTTATATCTTCTAGATATGGAGTAAAGGTACTGTTATGGATTCTTTTATGGGAAAAGCCGAGATAGCAGTAGAATTGAATCGTAATAAAGTTTGTGATGATTTACCCTTGTTTTCGAATAAGAAGCCCAAGAAAAATGAACAGCCAGAAAAAGAACCTGGCACGTTATCAGTTAAAATTAATTGCTCAGATAATCTTGAGGAATTATAAATTATTCATTTACTTTCTGAATGTTGTTCTCATACCGTACCATATATTGGCAACAGTATAGTGAGATCGTTTAAAAAAATTATTCGATCTGAGAATCTATAACTACCAAACTTTGAGGTGTCAATAGTTGCAGCATTTTGTCCTGTCACAGTTCCTAAATGAACTTTACTTACTCTTGGCCAAGTAATAGCGATTATGGTGTAATACTAACAAGACGTTGGAGTTATTTTTTGATTGCCTAAGGATACTATAAGTCTATTTAGTTCGCATCACACTTTAAGATTGGTGTCTTGTATTGACTCTACGTCTTTGCTGGTGCTAAAAGGATACGATCGGCAAATGAAAGACTTGGTTTTTGTTGCTGCTACGTAAAATACTATTCGTTTACAGTATATGTCTTTTGATGAAGATTACCTTGATCAAGTCATGCTATTAATTAATTAATATACTTTGCTATTTACATCTATTTACTAAAAGTAAATTATACTTCATTCTAATGCGTTTGTTTAAAGGATTACAATTATTTTCTATCATTTCCTTTGGTTACAATGATAAAGAGATGGGTATAGTAACGAGAGTTAACGTAATTTGTCATACCATTTATAATCAAATGACATAATTTTGCTTGGTCAATGTTAAGAATGTTGCACATCTATGTAATGTATGTATTGCGTTTTAAGTTGGCATTGTCATCTTAACATTATTAACTGAGCCTCATCAATCAATAAATAGAATACAAACAGTCATCCTTTTTGAATTATTACAAACACTATAGCGAAGTGGACATAACAAATCATGCGTTTGCTCGTCAGTTTATGTTTATAGTGGCGATGGCATGGTTGAGTAATGGGTAGGTGGAATACCAGTTCACCTTTTGTATCTGAATGAGTTAGCTAGCTTGAAGATGAGATTCAAGGTATGCATCAGGTCCAGACGAATTTTGCAGTCCAAATGCGTCCGTACTGTATACTATACGAATGTAGATAGTCATTGGCATATGCAAAATCATTTCATAGTACAGTATTGTGTAAGCTACTTTTGAGCCTAGAGATGGAGGATGCCAAATTTTGCAAATCGTTGCACATTTTATTTACGCCACAGCTTGCATATCTATTGTCATGGTCTTATCCTTGTATCATGGCTTTCATACTCCATACAGTACAGTACAGACTGTACCGTATACCGAGTGTACAGCATGACACTTTTTTCGTTAGTGACATCATTTTTGCTGAAGATGAAGGTCTTATTACAGTTACAACTGTTCATGGTTTGTAAAAGTTTACGGTACTCCAATTGTGTGAATCTGCCATGGGATCTCTATCGACAGTACTGTATATTGCAGAGTAGAATAATATTCTTATTTTTAGTACAGCAGAGTCCTGCATGGGTTGAGTCCAGTACAAGCTATTGGTGACATTATTTTTACTCGGTCTGTCCATTCATGGACAGTCCGTCCAGGACACATGTAGATTATTATAGAAGTCCCTGGAGATTATTGTTGCACTGTACAGTCCAAGTGACATTGGTTTTGCTCGAAATAGATGGCTTGCGTTCATCAGTTGAAATATTACTGGAACGATTGAGTGGCATGGCATGCATTTGAAGATCATTCATGTGATTTTTACATCATTTTAATTGTAGTTGAGTCGCTGCTAGAGTTGCTAACTTCTAGAAAAATTGCCATTTTTTCGGTACCGTCGTCTATAGGTTTATACAACAAGTCTAGGACAATTTATGGCAGTAGCTGTGTAATGTAGTAGTACAGTATAGGATGAAAACAATATCAATGTCGATTTGATATTACGAGCGTAAAATGAATTGAATGCGGTAAATTATCCGGTTTGGTATATAGTACCGTGGACTACTAAATAATTGCTGGGAAGTATGTAAGGTAAGTAGTTGATGGCAGCACTGAGTAGAGAGAAAACGCCAACAAGGCAAAAATAATGTCATTGCTGGAGTGTACAGTGTACAGTACAAAAGGAAATCATTGCTGGTGCACAGTAAACGTGCTGTACAGTACTGTGTACTGTAAGTGGATTTTGTGCTAGTCTGGACATTATTTCAGTACCGCACACGTATTCTAGTTCATGGGGGAGTTTTTTAATGCGCAGGCGTAATTAGGCACAATAATAACCTTGTGCATGAAAATGTTCATCACGTGGTACCCTGGCCACGTGACGTACGTGATAAGTTATAAGTTATATATATAACCCTACTGGACATCATGTCCGACTGCCAATTCTGGTGATTGATTGCTACAGTACTGAACTAGATACTGTGCTAGTCTGGATATCCACGACTGCCAATTCTGATGATTGCTACAGTACTGTACTGTATTCAGGTCTACTTGCTGGGTAGTATGGAAGTAGTCGATGCCAGTACTGAGTAGAGAGAAAACGCCAACAAGGCAAAAATAATGTCACTGCTGGCCTGTACAGTGTACTGTACACTGTACACTGTACAATACAGTACAACAGGAAATCATCGCTGATGCAACGCAAATGTACTGTAACTGGATACTGTGCTAGTCTGGATATCATGTCCCACGACTGCCAATTCTGGTGATTGCTACAGTACTGTACTGTACTAAATACTTGCTGGGAAGTACAGTACAGTATGTAAGGAGTCGATGCCAGTACGGAGTAGAGAGAAAACGCCAACAAGGCAAAAATAATGTCACTGCTGGAGTGTACACTGTACAGTCTACAATACAGCAGGAAATCATCGCTGTTGTACAGTAAATGTACTGTAACTGGATACTGTGCTGGTCTGGACATCATGTCCCACGAGCAATTCTCGTGATTGCCACAGTACAGTACGGTGCGACACGGCACGGTACGGTACGGTACAGTACTGCCTTGACCTGACTCCGTACCTGTACAGTACAGTACTGTAGCTGCAGTTGCGTCATTACTCTACTGTACAGTACAGTTGTACAATGTACAGTACAAGCTTGACTGGCGACGACAGTACTGAGTACTGTCGTCGCAAACGCCCCATCCAGTACTGGACAACGCCTAGTGTTGAAGTACAGTGTACAGTGTACAGTACAACCATGAAGTCCAATCCACTTTATACGGTACCGTATTATTATACTGGGTCGACGAGATTCTCCATCATTCTTTACTGGACGTGGATTAGCAACTTTTTGGCTGATCTGGAGACCAATATGGCGTGTCAAAATTGGCGTAAACTGCTGTTGATTGCTGTGATTATTCAGGCCATTTCAGGTACAGTCGGCTAGAGTAATTCTTCTTGTAATGGATGAGAAATGGATCATTTTTTCTACAAAGAGAATGTATCTTCTCTGTGATGGATTTGTCAATCAGGATAGTAGTTTATATGGGTAGATATCGGCCATCAGGCACAAACTCCATTTCTACACCTACTCAACCATGCAAGGAAAGAGACAACACACTTCCCTTTTTGACATACTGTATCTTGTTAGACGTTAGTCTACTGCTTAAACTATTTACATCAACTTCTCTTGATCGATGTATGGCATTACTATGTCATTATTATCAGTACCCCAACAGATGGTAACATAGTCGGATTGACGATTGGCATTTCTTACCTTCATGATCGTCTTGAAAATCTAGTGGTCAATCAATAGTGTAGTCGGGGCATTTTTGCTATGCAAATCCAACTCTTGACGTCAATTAAAGTAGAAGGTGTACAATATTCTTACAGTCTGTTATCCTTCTACCTTTTCAAATCGATTGTATATCAATGATTGCTACATTTGAAAGAGTATCACTTGATGATAGCAAATGGCCAAGCGATACGAGTAGTGGCACGGTACATGACTACGCTATTGTACGCGTATTCTACAACTTGATCGTGATCATAGTAATGCATCCATTGGATCCATATTTTAATCAATTGTTTGCATAACACTGTACTTTTATTCAACTTGAACGCGATACGATAATGATCTTGAGAAAATTGCTGCAATATTGAATGATTTGCAATACAGCCATTGATTCTATACAGTAGAATGACAGTGAATACAGTAGAGTACTCGATGAGTTCTCGCAACGGATTGAACCGCACTTGCAATGGATTTTATTCCTACTGTTTTCATCTCATCCATATTCTGAATTGACTACGCAATAATTTTCTTTTTCTTTTGAATCCAATACTGTCTTATTCCATCGTATCTGGGTCCAATATTAATAATAATTCCAAGATTTTCACGATATGAAGGATTCAAGGGGTAGAACAATTTTACAAAAGTCCAAGCGTACGCCAACCATTTTGAAAATGGTTGTACTATACAGCATCACTGCTAAATTGGGATATTCCATACTGCCAGTAGCTTTGTGTACCGATGAATGGTATACTGAATAGGACGGTACGGACAGAGTTTACTTTCTTGACCACCAAATGTAGAATAGCCATAGTAACGCACTACTGGGATAGTACAGTATAGTTTGGTAGATGATAAATTGAATCGATTCCCATAGTACTGGCCTACAGCTGCATCATCTGCCTTATTAGCACAGTATTATATGTTACTTCGCTAACCTTTCTTCCAATAGTTTAACGATCTATTACTAAATGAATCATTTACTAACCGCTTCAATCAAATTATTATACTAATGTATTAAGCGATCAATTGTAATCTTTGTCTTGTTTGGATTCCTGCCTGACTTGCGACATACAAGTGAAAAACATCCAACATCAGTTGGATTAAATTGGATGATATTTCTTTTGATAGGTCCATGTGTAGCTTTAGACCTTCAGAATGTCCTAGTCGTAGAAACACCGAAAAAGGTATTTATACATACGTGTATGCAATATGCTTGTACATACTATGCATTGACAGCAATAATACAGTATACTAGCTTGAGCTTTCAAGTCCTGGTGGTGACATATGCCGAGTTAACGCTGACTATGATACGCCTTATGGCTGCTTCAAAGTCTTCATTTTGGGGATATCGAACCAAATCGGCTATAGAATAATATACTGTACGATGGATAGTATGTATATTATTACTGTATATAATACAATCTATAATGAAGATGCTTAGTAATAGATAGGAATACTCTTGTATAGGATATGGTCAACTAGATCACTGTAGTATGGATAGGGTAAGAAGTTCTACTAGTATTTAGTCTTGCTAAAGAAGTGTAGATGATTGTCACTCCAATCCTAGTAGTAATTTCGCTGTCGATACTATTCGTTATATGTCCTTATCAATAGAGGACTACGGTATAGCTGTTTACGAAATGGTTATCAGCGGATTAATGTTCTATTATAAAGTAGACATTAGCAATTTCATTGAATACACTGATACAGAGTGCAATTTATATTCTAATTTTGGCGTCTTAATATTCTATTTTTGCATTGTACCCGTAGTTGGGCTACTACAAATACTTAACTTTTGTATATCGGCTATTGAAAGTTTAGTTATGTAGTACTGTTAATGTAGATATACATACGGTTAAAACTATTGCAGCATGTATGCAACAATAATCTCTACTAACCATCATTTATTCAAATCTCCTATTCAATAGAATGAGGAACCTTCCAAGCTTACAATTGTCCATAAACCCGATAGCGTGAGCATGGTTAAAGAAATACAATCAATTCCCGCTCATGATATTTCGCCCGTGATCACTTTAGCTTTGGGTTTAACGCCAACCCAGGTAAGACGGTGTTTTAGGCATATACTGTACGCTTTATGACTTACTGAACGTAAGTAATTTATAATCGAAATTTAGCTCGAGCAAATTGATAGCTATTCTACTTGTTTATTAGCTAATTCTTTAGCTTGAAGAAATCGATATCATAATGATAGAATTTTGTAGTCTACCTTGTTGACTAAGATCACGGAAAAGAATCGATTTCACAATATTATGACATAATTCTATTTGAAACTTAGGGAGTCCATTGGAAAGGATTACGAGTTGGCAATATCTTTAAAAGACCATCCGCAAACGTTTTAATTGCGGTTACGGATGTCCCAATTGGTAAAAAATGTTACAAAGTATCATCTGTAATTTACGCTATATTATATCAGACCATGTTAATTCGATTATTGCCATCATAACTTTAGATAATAAATTTGGAATCGATCATTCCTACACGTCTTACCGAGTTGATGAGGTAAATTTGCTACCTGTTCCAATTAAAAAATTCATCATATTGGTCCTGCTTAGCAATTACTTTACGCGTATGCTAACATTTTGAAATTTATATTGTTATAGTCGGCGAAGACCGTTACTGGAAACGCCTTTTTGGACATGGTACATGGCCCCAATAAGGAAAACGTTGCTACTTACGTTTCCAACGTTTTCGAGAAAAAACCCTTAACTGTATCCATATCAGCAAGCTACGAGGTGTGATATAGTAACCAGTAGAAAGTTACCGTTACTTCTTGAAAGTACTTAAAGTCAATTCTATGCAAACTACAGTGATTAGAATACTAAAACAATCGTAAAATGTATGTTGAAATTGCAGGTCGCTCAAGCTGGTTTCGGAAATCAAGGGAAAAGTTTTTCGATGTTCCTCGATGGCTTGGTGCGATTATTATTATTGCTTTTCTTTATATCTTTTAACAAACTTACAGTATCATGCTAATTATGATATTTATCATCAAATTTTAGGACGAAAAATTCCATGTTGCTTCACCATCAGATGATCATCTCTTTGATTCCCTTTCGGCATCGAAAGAGGCTGTGAGTTATTAAAATTGTGTGCATTGGCACTGTATTCATAGCAGCTACTAACTTAGATTTATCATGATAATTGTAGACCCTTAAGGAGTTTGAAAAATTCAACTTTGGCAAAGGTATGCGAGAGTTTTTATATGAATTAGTACTACATCCTTTAGTAATCAAAATGTATCTTATTACAGATGTACACTTCAATGTGGAGAAAAAATTGATGATCGTTACATTACCTGATGATAAAAAAATTCCTTTCGACATGAATAAAAGGGTAAGACGCCTGTGTACTGTTAAAGTCTACTTACGGTAGATTTTTAAAGTATGTTTGAGAATTTGACTGCAAAATTTTTAATCAGTAATTGTAAATACTAAAGAGTTGATAATATTGCTGTATTTTTATAGTCTGATTACATTTTCTTTGCCGAAATATTCACCATGTTAAAGTCTCTTGAGATTGTAAGTGTACTACAAAATTGCATCAATATTTGACCATATTAACACACTTTATCGTAGTAAACAAGATATTCTTGATGTAGATTAAGGCAAACAAAGATTTGATCCATGATGATGCTCCTGATGTATATACCTATTCAATTAGTTCAATCAAGGTAAAAATAACTGTTGGACGAAGATATTAACATTTAACTGTATTTACATATTTATTTTATTTTATTGTTCTAAATTGCTAATGCGTATGGATAGGCTTTAGATATGGAACATGGTAAAGATTCCAATCAAGTTCATGCTGCCATTCGAGTTTTACATCATGTTGTACCTAAGGTAAATTGAATATGAACCATATCATATCAGAGGCCTATCTAACTTTGCTATGTCATATGCAAACAGATTTATAAATCTTTTAATGAAATGTATGATGGTGAGGCTCTAATAGAGCTTCTAAGTCGCGGAAGCAGCGGGTAAGACTTGTATTTCCACAAACTACTAACATAACTTCAGTAGCGTGCTGTTAGCCTGATCAAAATTTTATTCTAAACATCATAGACGATTGGTTTTCGAACGACCCGAACAAGCCAAAAAAATGTATGAGCATGTCAAGCCTCATCTTCATGTACAAGTATGTTTTTCAATTTTAAATTTTGCATCAATACATCTTGCGGCGCCAACCACAAGTCATATCTAAACCTTTGTCCATTTTTAGCATGAGCAAGACTTTCGCCATCGCCTTCCTTTCATCCACCTAAAAAAGAATCTTGTATGAAATTTTTAGATTGCTGTCTGTTTGTTTATCGACCTGAAGCCTTTTCACTTTATTTCGCTAATACTTAATTCTTATTATTTAAGGGTACTAATATGGTCAATGGTATTTGCCATTCATTGAACGGTTTATTGAATTTATTTGGTTCTAAAGCTAAGGTATGCACGAACAAGTATTTCCAAGTTTAGAGTTAAGATTTGACTACTAATATCAATGAATTACAGATTGATTGTCACGGGCAATCTTCTGATGCACGTGTTGGTAGATCATTGATGGCCGCTGCAACAACAAATAGTCCCCTTACCGTAAGTTATTAATGCTCTAGTAACCTTATTACAATATTAGGCTGGTCTTTGATGGTCAACTTCTATTTATTTCGTATATTAAATAGGAAAAGAACTTTTTGAAAAGATTGAACATTTCACCAGTTTATACATCGGATTATCCAGTTATTTTCAATATTATCTTGTGGTTGATGATAATCCTCGCTATCGGTCTTTACGTAACTGCTGCTGTTATGTGGGACATGGATCCTGGTCGTGATAGCATCATTTACCGAATGACTAGTCAGCGCATCAAAACCGACTAAATTTACAATCCGCTCGCTTCTAGACGGTTAAACATGAAAACCTTTTTTTTTAAATAGTAATCATGACTTGAATAGTGATAGACATATATATGCTAAAATCTGTTGTAATAAGATGATGGTAGAATGTAGCAGTAGGTTTAAAGCTTAATATTTTAGAAATGCACTCAGGGTAACCTGCTGTGGTGATATCCTGTACATATAGTACTTTAAATGATAACATTAATAATTTTAGACAAATCTTGCCTAGAAAATAACGATAGCAATCTGCTTTAACCTGCTGCTGCAATAATTTAGCTCGATACAGGACATGTATTTACTGTCAAGCAGTATCGCATGGACTATGTATTACCTACTGATACTAAACTGGATATTTAATACTAAGAAGTAGACCTAAGCATACAGTAGTTAGCATTCGAATTTTGCTACTATTACTTTAAATTTGCCTTCAGTGGAGTATTTACGCACTGAAATGCAGATCTACAGTTAGTACAACAATGTTAATCAGATTTACCAAGAAGTGTTACCTGCTTCGGTTTACAGATACAGAGATTATTATTAGCTACTAGTCCCAATACTACAGATATTTTTGGACAGATCAATTCATGCAAGTATTGCTATCGCATTTATGGATAGACTATCGGTATGTTGTTTGCTTTGCTAATTACTTAAAACAAAATTTTAAAGAAGCAGTTTGTTTAGACAAATTTTATATATTGTATCTAATTTATTGAAACTGTCATGCTATTGAAAATTGTTGAAGTGAAAGGTTTGAATAAAACATCCACTTTACTGCTTAGTGTTCATTTCTTAATGTATTTCGTTCTCTTTTCAATGCAAGACTGATACTGCATTATCTATTAATAAGCTATCCGGCTTATGAATACAGTATGATTAATGTAATTGCCATAATGAAATCCATATTAATTTTCTGCAACTATTTACGTACTGTATTCATCTTTCATAAATTACGATATACTCTTACGTTTACCTCAGTGCGAAAATATTATCTATAATGAATTAAACTCAAATTTATTCGTATCATCTGTTACATTCTGACACGAGTAAATGACGTAAAAATGCGATAACTCGCAATGCGACTGGTGTTTCCTGAGGCTATTGATTTCTTATGAAAAATTTATAGTTATTTCACTATGATAAAAAACCCCCTAGTTACAGTAATTTGATTAGAATAATATACTATCAGGTATTCCAGCAGCCTATCATTATAACCCGTAAATTAACTTCGGTAGTCAATTTAACTGTTCACTCTTTCACAAAACCAATCATTACAAGTAGAGGATCGTCTCTCAACTTACATTATTTTGCATATATCAAGGTGCAGATTTTACATCGATGCAATTTCAAACTATAGTGCCACAGTATGTCAGGTTGAAATGCCAATTACAATTTCATCATGATGGTTTTAATCTGAACGCGAGAACTCTCTTTTAAATGGTTCCTTTAAAACTTAGATTTACGAATTCTACGCTATTTTCTAGTGCTGATTTTGAATATCGATCAGAAAAAACACTATTAATGGTAATATAGTATTAAACTACATGTAAGCTATTCATTTCATGAGAGCATCCCAGCGATGATAGAAATGGTAAATTAACTTGGATATTAAATACTGTTCACTTATAACTACTGTAACGTTCCACTATAGCATTCAAGAGCAATAATAATTAAGTAATACCCATATGAAATTCTTCCAACCAAAGCGATTATTGTATCATCTTGAATCGACTGAAGCTTTTGCAATTTCTCCGACTGTATGAATTTGGGGTATTTTTGCTGCACATATCTGTATTATGCGTGTACAGATATTTAGTCAAGTATTGTAGACTATAATCTGTCATGTAACATCTCTCTACTTGATAGAGCACAAAGCGATATTTTCTTACTACCATTGCGAGCGAAATGGGTATAATTGCAGAACTAATTATATGACATAGAATCTTACATGATTATTTACTATCTTTACTCCAAAGGAAATATTCGAATCGATCTATATGCGCGAAATCATCATTATAGATTGATAGTCTCTAGGAAATAGTTCTATTCTGATTAAAGGCTCTAATTAAACGGTAAAGTTCTAAGAAAAATTCTCTACAAACTTTACAGCATATAAGGAACAGCAAGATAAACTTTTCTGTTTAATAATGACTGCGCACTCTATATGCTTTGTCGGGAAGATAATATAATTTAGATCTAGTTATTATTAATTAATTTCAATGGCATCCAGCAGCGATTAGTCAGCCTTACTAGTAACGGAAACTTGCAATACATTCGATGTGACTCATAATTAAGATCACCAGCAGTTGAAAATTGGGCGACATTATTTCGATGACCTTAATATGGAGTATCGAAGCCAGTTTCCTACCGCATTTATTATTGAAATTCAATAAAGCCTACCCTATCAAAATAATAAGAGTGATTTAATTTTCAGTTGAAAAGTTCCGTTAACATTGCCGATTGTACTTGCGAACGATATATTAGGGAAAAAGGCCATATTGATGATAGGTTATCAAGTTAATTCAGCCAATTTTATGTTTATGACAAAGGATAAGGATATTAGAAATATTAATATGTTACAAATCAACTTATAGACCTCAGTAAATGATAATAAAATAATATGGCCATTTCTACTGTATGTTATATCGTGATTGCTACCTTGCTGCTACTGAATTGATACAATAATGTCTGCTGCAGTGATTTTCCTATTCTTGGCTCTGCGAATGCTGATGTCCTCGATCAAAGCTTAGCGGCAATTCCTTTATGTTACGAGGTATTTCTTGCCATTACTTACATCAAGTATGGGCCGATATCGATCCCATAGAAGTAATTAATGATGGATTATTGGCAGCCAATGATATTATGATTCCGAAAAAAGTGGTAAAAGTAGGGAGATTAAATTTTTTGCAATTAGCAAAGGGCCAATCTTCATATTATATACTACATTTTTTATTTTTGCTTTAAAAATGAATTACTGATTCATTCATTTTTGAGGTTATATAACAGTCTATACAATACAATACAATACAATCATTCACGCATTTTTGAGAGCAGAGAGTCATTTGAGAAATTCACGATAGGAATTTCACTTAGGATTTTATGATGACTATAAACATAGTCTTTTATTTTCTTTCTAGTTTATCTATTTTTTGTCTCTAGAACTATGTGCTGTTAATTTATAGGCTTATTAATAAGTAATTCTAGGTTTTGTAAACTCATCACATTTATGTCTCACCTATCTAACAATCCACGAAGAAATTGTTTCACGATATTTATTTATAATTAATAGAAACAACATTGGATGATATAGAATCTGGAATTACTGATGACGTTAAAATCATCCATCTTTGTCATCACTAACGTATAGATTCGTTATGAATTCTAACTGCAACGTTATGAGCTAAAATGGACTATTTTTATTATGTTGCTGCAAATATTACTACGTTCATTGGTTATAAAGGACAGGATACCTCTAAAACTGCCCAGTCGAGCAACTAATTATACTCGTAAGGATAACAGTTTAAGACAAGGCTTTGTCTACAATATAAGAACTAAACGAGTATTGCATCTCGTATCTAGAAACTGAATATATTCCGATTGCGCTACCAAAATAGCATATAGTTTTCTGTCTATATTAAGAACACGATAAAGGCTGCAGCAACCTTAATTTATTTTGCTGTTAAAGATAGTATAAGATACTCTATTTGTATACTCTATATTTCTATTACCCACATATTCTAGGATGATGGCTATGAGCTACGGTATTATTTATTAAGTTGAATAGTATATTTAGATCCATGTCCATTATAATGATTAGTTGATAGCAAGAGAAGAATTTAAAAAGCAGTTTAGCTCAATTGACTTATGGAAGAGTATTAAAAAGTAATGATTAAAATGAGTTGGATTTACATCGTCGATGAACGGAAAGTAACGTGATGTAGAAATAATTTCATCGCTCTGTTTCATCATCTTGACAGTATAGCCAAGTTAGAGTTAGTAATAACAAAATATCCAATATAATTATTGATTGATATTAAGAAAAAATCCCCAAATAGTATACGTAAGCATAGTTTGCTAATATTGGAAGAATAATAAAGACGACAATAAAAACGAGTTGAATTGACATCGTCGATGAGTGGAAAGAAATGTAATGTGGAAATGATTTTATCATCACGTTTCATCATCTTGGCAGTATAATCAAATTAAGATTGGTAATAACTAAAAGGACAAGAAGAAACAATTAATAAACAATATCCCATTTAATTTTATTTCTTATCTAGTTAACGGTTAGAGATAAAAAAAATTGGACTGATAAGATTAAAATTTATCTACCGACAAATCTGTATAATAAAGAATATATTCCTTTCTCTCATAACATTTGATTCGGTAATTTAATCCAAATTATTTGATATTTTTTCAATGAAATATGAAATACATGTACTATGTATACATCAATCTATTGATCTGTGTGGGATCGAGCTATAGATAGAATAAATTTAACACAGGATAAATTATTTTTTATCATCCCCTCTTCAAATTAAATAGATATTTATTCATGGAAAAATATTTATTTTAAATAACAACTAATCCTTTGTTCAAGCATGATCGTACGAGGAAAGTGGGGGAAGGGAGACACTGATGATGTCCATCATTGCGATTTGAATAGTGTAGCAAACTATTTGAGTTGTAGAATGCTATTTGTTTGATTAGTGGTTGAAGGAAAAAGAAAAATGGAATAATATACAAATGCTGTTGGATGCTAAAGTAAGTTGATTTATCGCGCTGTTCGAACTAACTTACTTCCCTGCCTACCAACCTGAAAACAATATAACAACAAAATTATTACCTGTTCACATCTTCGTCTGTCACGCAAAGATTGACAACGACGAATGATCGATTCTAATTTTAGATAGTAGCAATGATTACCAGTCTTATTATAACCTGAATTGAAATAGTATAAATCACGGTAATGTAGAAGATAACGC